CTATCTGCAATATTAAGCTGATCCATCCCCCCCAAAGAAAAAAACAAAAAACAATGGCATCTGAGTGTTTTCTCCAGGCATCACAACTCCAACCCATCTCAATATCATAGCCTTCGCAAAAGTCAATAACAAAGTACAAAAGCAAAACATCACACACAGCGCTATAAGAGCTGCCAGTAAAATCTGAACTATCACTGCTCCCACTGGGCCTAACTGATCTTGCAACCAAGCCTTCGCTGACTATCCAGCTCCTTCAGATCAACCAAACGCATCCCTTATATTCTTCAATGCATCTATAACACTAGTGATATTATCGGAACTATCGGAGATCAAAGTATAACAATCATCCCCCTTCAAGTTCATAGCCAAACATAAACCACCTTGTTTTGCTGAAATATGGTCAAGAGCCATGTCATGTTTCAACAGCGTCAGTCTGTGACTTCTTTGAGTATTTGACAGAAGGTTAAACCCTCTTATCGTTTCATTTGCAAAACCCTGCAAAGTATAGGTAATATTATCAATGTGATCTGCCAAAAATGTTACACCATACCATGGAAAAAGTCCAAGTCCCCACTTCTCTCCTAGACTTATCCTCCAATGGTAGGCTTCCAGACTATGAAATTTCGCCATGTCCCTTTTCACCCTATTTCCAAACCTAGAATCAGATTGATCTGTTTCCGGTGCTTCCCCTCTTATAATGGTAAAAACCTCATATGGAAGCTTCAACGTCGACATATAACAACATCCTGTCCATCCATAGGGTAAGAATATATATGCTTTATCACCACAAACCCACCAAATATCTCTAAAATTCCCAATAGTCACATTACCAGGCAAAAGCTGATCTTTCACCATCAAAGTGCTGCTCTTCTTACTAACTGGAACATAAAAAGTTACATTATATTTCTCATTACTAACCTTACGTTCATGCTTACCTAAAGTCATCATATAATCATCACAATCTCATATTCCCATAAACATCCCCTTTCCATCATATGTTTTATTTTAACAAAAACAGCTGTTAGCCCTCACGGGTTTCACCTCCAATGCTTCAGGAAGCGCTGTTAACTGATTTTCCTTCCGATCTAACAAATTCACATAGGGTAATTCATTTAACCAAGAACACTTAAACCTAGGCCTAAACAAATGCTTCGACAACGACATTATTGTATCTGTTAATGATTGTTGCTGATACAACAGCCATGATAAAGCATAAGATTGACATGTACTTGATAGAGGTTGATCCACCGTCTCTAAGATTGAACCCCATGTGCCTGGTGCTGGAATTCTCAACAGACATGGACCCTCAAGATTCCTCACTGATCTTACAGAATGAGTTAACTGCTGGAACCATAGATTCCTACCTGCCCATCCATCTTTAATTTGCAAAACAGAATAATCAAATCCACATACCTTCCATTTAGTTTCTCTCTTCCCTAACAAGCGGTATTGATCAGATATATCTTCTTGTCTTCCATCAAAATTAAAGAACTCATCCTTTACCTCCCTGATAGTATTCTGCACTATTTCAGATGAATCATTCTCTACTACCATCTGCTCTCCTATTTCAACACTATCCTTACTACCATTCACAGCACTCTCCATCCTTATCATAACTTCTGAGTCACTCTTACTACATCCTTTAGTTTCAGAAAAGTTGTTGTTGGTGTCTGTGTCACATTTCCTAAATGTGTTATTGCCTTTGTAACATGAATCTCTTTCAAAGTTACTGTTAAAATAGTTGCTTTAGTTGATGTATTAACACTCTTAATTATTTCCAGTGGAAAAGTGACAGATGTCCTCTGTGTATTATTTACTATTGGAGTGGCTACTGTAATATAATTATCCTGAACTTCTTTGGTGACTGTGGAAGCTTCAACAGACTTTAAATCTTCCATCATAAGCGTCACCTTACGAGTTACATAGCCTTTTAACCAATAATTCTTAACCGGAACAAATTTTAACGCTTGCTCTAAATAAGTACACATATATTCTCCCTGATCTTTCCCTGTAACATTACGCAAAATAAGTGAGCAATCACTCATAACCCTCTTCCACTTCATATCGTTGTACAAAATATACTTCCTTTGACTAGATGAAACAGCTTCTACTTCTGGTCCTGATAACAATACTTCTTCTCCATAATTATCTCTCCACGTGGGAGGAATTTCACCACATCCTACATCTCTATGCACCTCTTGGTGTAGGAATGTAACCAAGAATAACAGTCACACCCCTGAAAACATTATTTTTCAGACAGATTGTGCACCTGCCTATGACATAGTCAACCTGTTCAAGCAAATATGGTTCCCAAAAACCATACTCCTTTGTGATCTTTCTCCTAACCTCCCCCCTTGCAACATTAGATAACCCATAGCTTCCTAAATCATCAGACCTAATAGGTCTAGAGGCGCTACTATCAACCCCTCATGGTTTCTCCAAAGACAACAAAGGATTGTTACTCTGAGGATTTTTTAATTGTCCTCAAAAGACCTGCTTTCGAAAGTCCTTCAATTTATGGTTCAATCCCTTGGATTGCTTCATCTTTCAATGGATACTGATTCTTCCAAGGAGGTCTGGCTCCTTGTCGAAGTTCAACTTTCACCTCAATTGGGCTGATTTCACAAGTCCAATATCGGTACTATTTTGAAACCACAAACATTCTTGAACTTTTTTCAACATCTCCTCTTTCATAGGGTCTGAATCCATCTTCACACTGCAAATAGATTCATGTGTCATCCGTACAGCTTATGGCTCTCCTTGTCCTTGAGCCAAAATCATTGTTTTGAGAAATCGCTCTTCACTCCTCCAAATCCCCCAAATTCTCTTTCATCAGTACAAAAACAGCTTTCTCTGCTTCTGTCATCATTTCTCCTATTTGCTTCTGCTCATAGCCTTCAGAAACCAACAAGGTCACATGTGGCACACTCTTCTCAATCTCCAATTCTTTATCCAGATAATCGTCTATGTTTATCTTCATAGCTGCTCCTTGTGGTCCTAAAATTATTCAACATGAGCTGAGTTGAACTTTCTTTGGTTGATTACTCAACCATTCCTCTGAGTTCGATTGGGCATCATTCTTGAAATACTTTAGCATACATTGAAATGGATATTCCAGAAGCCTCGCACCTGGCATATTTTCCCCAATGAATTTCTCCCATATCTTAGCCTGCTTCATTTGCTCTACATAACTCTAAACTCATAAAATCCCACACATGCGCAGTTCATTCACCAGTGTGATTTCAGAGTGAGAAGAGCTCCCAAGCAGCTCTCTCCAAGCTAAACAACAGAAAGTAGACAGACCAGCTGTCCCTCCGTTATTTCCCCAACACAGACAAACAGTAACACTTAACAGAACTCACAAACCAACACAAAACATAGAACACAAATCCTACTTTGAAGTTTCTTAACTTCACTTATCCTAATCTGCAGATTTATAGTTATTTTCTTATCCATTACAAAACATCTCTATACACTCTTAAAATCCTCCCTGTAAGTTCATAATCTTTTAACAGTTATTAAACGTTCTCTTTTTATAGAGACTCATAAGATTTTAACCTTAACGTCCTCCCAGGGGGCTCATATATAGTTAACAATTATTAACGTTCTCTCTAACGGAGACTCATAAGATTTTAACCTTAACTTACATATTTCCTTACAAAAAACTAAAACCCCTGTTCTCAACCAAAACATATATATGTATATATCTCTAACATAAATCTTATCCTAACATGAGTCGACACACAACTTAAACACAACAGAGACGTCTTTAATTTATTATTATTTTTTCCCCCACACACACACAATTCAAGAGGAATACATCCGTTTCTACGGTCCTGTAAAGCATGCTACCGTCGTTCCTTATTTTTCATTGTTCCTAAATTTATGCTACCTCGAGTTTGCAGATATTCAAATGAGAGGTTACATCGAACATTTACCTCGTCAGCTATAAATCGAGGGGTAACTTGCAACCAAATGTATCTACCACAACCTCCAGTTCCCGGAACTGACCTAAAAAATCAACCTAGTGAGTTTTCAGGATTTTCGGCCCATCCTAATGATCGCCTCGTTTGAGGGCTTTCCTAGATCAACGTCGTCCTAATTTGTATAAATTTTTCCTTGGCCTTATTCCTTCATTGTATTCTTTTTGAATTTTATTCAAGCAAAATATCCCTGTGTCCAGTATTATCAATTCCTATAGACACTCCCCCCTGTTAGAAATTTAGAACGGATTCTCATCACACAGCAAATAACAGCAAAGCGCACACATAAGTCCTTTGACGGTGCAGTCTTTCAACGCACACACACACACAAGCACACGAACTGACCAGCGCCCAAAGTTTGTGAGAAAGCTCACCGTAACTGCATGGCTCTTGAGCGGGAGTCAGCTCGGCGCCCATGAATGGAACGCTGAGAAAAGACGCAACACGGCCCAAATTCCTCGTCACCATTAATGTAGTGTCGAGAACGATGCTGAGATGCTGTGATGACAAGAAATCCACTGACACTGTCCTTAGTTAGTTTATTACATCTTTACTTTCAGCGTCAATTTACAGATTTCTGCAGAAAATCCGGAGAACAACCATCCCAATCTCTAATATGTTGTACCTCCCGTCCTTTGTCCCAACCATAGTATATATATCCTATGTAACCTGATATGGGTGGTTTTCCCCTACAGGCAAATCCCTGGACACCACATAACAGACTTCCTCTGTTTTAGGGTGCCCCTATAGTAATGCTTTCCAGATGCTTCCGCAAGCTGAGTCAGCTTCCTCTAACACACCATTTGCAAACATCAGCAAAGTCATAAATTGTCTAGATACTACATCACTTTTACTGTTCTTAGACTTGATAGGTAAGTAATGACATTTTCATTTGAAACTGAGTGTGATAATGTTAAGGTGTATTTATTTTCATCATTACACTGATTTGGAATTAATTCCATCTTATATGTGGGTATAAAGTATTATCTATAATATATAATATTATGTTTTACAGGTCTCAGTTCTGAACAGGTATTAACACCCTATACTAATGTAGAAGTGGCTTCAGAAAGGGACAGAGTTACTCTCTCTTGTAACTACACCTCTGATGTCAGTCTTCAATGGTATCGACAATATCCCAAATCAGCACCACAGTTAGTGGTTATGGAGTATGTGGATAATACACCAGGGTTAATTCTAAATCATGACAAAAAGGACAAACGTGTGGATCTGGAGATCTCCTCTGCTGAGGTGACAGACTCTGCTCTGTACTACTGTGCTCTGAGACCCACAGTGACAGGAAACCCAGAAACACTGTACAAAAACCTAGAACATCTGATTGAGGGGAGAAAATTATCAACAGGCACATTAATTAATTAGTCCAAAACACTGAGGCCTAGATTCAATCAGAACAAGCACTTGCTGTGTCGGAGGTGTAACTGCGTTGTAGATGTCAAATCGGTGAGCAGCTGCTCTTGATCGTTGTCACAAACCCTAACCTGGTCTGACTGCTTTTCATATTATTCTGTACGTAAATATTTAGTATGATATGTTAGGTTTCGTATGGTATGTATTAATTTGTGGATGTCCATCATCCATTTTGTATGATAGGTTATGAATTACAATTCTAACCCTAACCCTATCTTTGGCAGTAGGTGGAGCTACAACATTTTCTCCAATCGGCAAGACTGAAACATTGCAACAGAGTGAGATATTCAACTCTGCATGTATTGTTTGACAGCTCTAACGCAGTTCCACCTCTGACACCGCCAAAACAACCGCTATGCGGATGTGGCTAAAGTGGATCTGATTGAAAAGAGTCCTAAACCCTTCTGTCCTAGCCAGAACCCTAGTCTAACGCGAGCTTCATGTCCACACCCCAGATCAATCCTAACCTTAGCCATAACCCTAAACCTAACCCTAACCCTAAATTCATGTCTAGATCAATTATTAATTTCAATTGTTTTTCTTCATAATGCAGTATAACATGAATAGAGTAGTATTGTTAACAAATAATGAATGCATCAACCCTACAATGTACATTAAACAAGGATTGCATGGCACACACAGAAACAAAGCTTGTTGTCCATCACCCGCTGTGTTTTGGCAGTAGCTGGAGCTACAACACTTTCTCTAATCATCAAGACTGACAGATTGCTACAGAGAGAGATATTCAACTCTGCCTATGTTGTGCCAGAGTCTTTTTGATACTGTGTCTATCAGCTGTGTTGCTGCTTCATCATTTCTCCTCCTCTCAGTCCTTGTTGGTGAGTGCTGTACTCAATTTGACCTTTTTAATTTATACACCAGAATGTATTTCAAAGTTGTCAAAAATACAATTATATTTCAGATTTGAGTATCACTAAATTGTGTTATGGTTAAGGGAAAAGGCATTATCAACAGACCAAAAAGTCAAAAAGAGCAGCATGTTTTTCCTTTTCTAGCAGTTTTGAAGATGACAAACCCACTAGGTCTAAGATGGGTGGTGTGGAGGGTGATCCCACCACACTATCCTGCAGCTACACTGGCTCTATAAACAATCTACAGTTGTATCATCAGTATCCCAGGGCTAAACCAGAGTTCCTGATTCTCATCACGAAATCAGGACATGTCCAGAAACTTGTCCCTCCTCGCCTTTCAGCTCAGGTTCGTACAGACCGTGTAGATCTGGAGATCGTCTCGACTGAAGTGACAGACTCTGCTCTATACTACTGTGACATGGATCCCACCGTGACAGGAAACACTTCCTCATACAAAAAGCTGACAGTCTGACACAAAGATGTGGGATGTAGGATTTTTGTTTAGAATTCACTTCATCCTTATCAACATACAATATTATACCATTCTTACCATTAAGGTTTATTTGCAGATTATTCATATGGTATAGCATGGTATAGTATTGTGGATCTATAAAAATAAAATAAAATAAACATTTCCAAGCCATATTATGAATCATATTATAAGGTTTATTTGCAGATGATATATACGGTATTGCATTGTGGATCCATTGAAAAAACAAACAATAGCATTCCCTATCCATTTCCAGATCAAAATTAAATATAAAATTAGATAATGAGGGGGTCAATAGGAACTGACAGTTTGTGGTTTTACAAACATCTGCTATTTTGTTTGACCACATCGACATCAAGTGGAGTCTCCAGTGCATAAATCATTTGTGAACTGTTATCACAATATACCAAATCAGCACCACAGTTACTGGTTATGGAGTATGTGGACAATACACCAGGGTTCACTCTAAATCATCACAAAAAGGCCAAACGTGTGGATCTGGAGATCTCCTCTACTGAAGTGACAGACTGTTCTGTTGTACTGCGCTTTGCAGCCCATAGTGACAGGAAACACTTCATCATACAAAAAGCTGACAGTCTGACACAAAGATGTGGGATGAAGGCTTTTTGTTCGGAATGATCTTCATCCTCATCAACAGTGACACAATATTATACTATTCTTATTGAATGTTTATTTGCAGATGGTACATACGGTATAGCATGGTATAATATTGTGGATCTATTGAAAAAACAAACAAACAACAACAGCAGCAAAAACAAGACATTTTCAGACAGAAATGAAGTCTAAAATTATCTGAGGCCAATAAGAGCTGAAAACCCTTAACCACAAACCACAGAAGAAGAGTTACATATCCAGTTATCAGAAGAGGGGCCTCATAGTCAAACACTGGTATAGGCTGGGTATACCTGCAACCATGAGAATGTCTCTGTAGAGGATCTACTCAGCTCTCTCACTGTCTTATTTACATTTTAGTCATTTAGCAGACGCTCTTATCCAGAGCGACTTACAGTTAGTGCATACATTCTTTTTTTTTTTTCATACTGGCCCCCCGTGGGAATCGAACCCACAACCCTGGCTTTGCAAATGCCATGCTCTACCAACTGAGCTACATCGCTGCCGGCCACTCCCTCCCCTACCCTGGACGACGCTGGGCGAATTGTGCGCCGCCCCATGGGTCTCCCGGTCGCGGCCGGCTACGACAGAGTTACAACTGCACAGTTTTACAGTTACAGAAGTTATTTGACCACATCTTTTTGCAGGAAACCATTTTTGGGATTCAATAAACCCTGTGACTACTAAAGAGCTTGTTCAGGAGGGAAGGAATGTCCATCTCTACTGCAAACATGATGGCACTGTCTACAATCTACAGTGGTACCGCCAATATCCCAGATCCAAACCAGAATTCATATTGTACATCACACCAGAGGGGTCTATATTTAAAGCTACTCCCCCACATCCTCATCTGACAGTTTCCATTGACAAAGTGGACAAACGTGTGGATCTGAAGATTTCTCTGCTGAAGTGACAGAGTCTGATCTTTACGACCGTGCCATGAAGACCACAGTGACAGGAAACTCTGACACACTGTACATCCTGTACGACATACAGTACCAGTGAAAAGTTGACACACCTACTCATTCAAGGGACTATATCTCGTGGAAGGATGAAATAGTATGAATAAATTCATCAAAATAACATTTGTAGTGAAAATATGTCAATCATTATTTGAATATGTTGGTAACCCGTTGTATAAAAGTGAAAATGCCCTGGAAGTTGTTGTTTGGAGGATATATTGGCACGAGACGAACACTCTCGGGAATTATCACTTAATTATTGCTCTCAACATGGACCTGCTCAGCGGTCTGGTCCTCTGGTGTTAAATCATGTACTGCACTCTTTAGAGGAGCACAAACATAGCTAAAGCTATCTAACTGTCTGTTATGGGCCAGGCAAACATAAAAAGGCTCTTCCACTGTTTTGGTCTGGGTCACTAGATATGAAAAGGAATTAAAGTTCATTATTCTTGTGAGGATTTACTGGCTTTATTCTCAGAACTTCCTCAACATTTAAATGCAGTCAGCAATGTGTAGGTAGAGTATAAAGGGTCTTTCTTTATATTTACCCACAAACAGCCGTTTCTGCAGCTCCTGGCTGATCTTCAGGTGAGGTACCTTCTTATCCTACATGTGCTGCCCACTACACCTTCTGAAGGATGGGTTGATCAGGCCCAAGTGAGCCAGGTGGCTTATCCACTGTTCCTCCCTCTCCAACCACAACTACTGAGATGTTCTCTCTGCCTCCTGATCAGTTATATGACAGATCTTCTTTGTCTGTGCTCCTCCTGTAGACTGCCCTCCACAGTTACAGTATGAAGTCCAGTGGCAAGGTTTCTCTATGTATAATAATGACACAATAGTTTAATCTAGTGTTCAACATTCTGCCCAACAAGGTGAAACCTTGACATTGCTTGTATTTTCAAGGGTAAATTACAAGTGAGAGTCAATAGGTGTCAGTGGAGTCTCATCAATTTGCTCCTGTTCCTTTAAATGATGCATGCAGCATGTCAACACTTTACAGGTGTCTGTGTTGTATAATTTCCCCCACCAAACAGAATATACATTCATTATGTTTTAACCCTTTCTTGTCACAATTGCATATTCTGTTTCTGCTCTTGTATTATTATATGAACAGACTGTGGTTTTCCAAAGTGCATTCAGGCAGAGTCAACTGTATAATTACTAAATTGTGTAGAACAATATATAATATAGGGCTTAAAAAACAATATAATACATTCCCTTGAAGCATTTACTTTAAAGGATGAAGCAGTACATCAGACACATACAACACACTTCAATAAAATCAACACTTGAAATGTAATTAATTGTAAGAGTGAATTTAATAACTATAATAGTATAAAAACAATGCCATTGGTTGGTTAAGGTTAAGGTCGGCTCTAGCCCAAATTCTAACACTACCTTCTTGTCCACCTATTGAATTGACCATGACCCTAGAATTAACCCTAACCCTAGCTTCAGTTGGCACAAATAATGAAAAACATTAGGAGAAGCAGGATTATGAGGAAGGCAGTTTTCTACTTGATTAACTCCAGGCAGGAGTGAGAGGTTTATTTTATGGACCAAATCGAGGGACAACAACCAATGCGTAATAGGCTACATGGTGATGCCATTGACCATCATTAACGTTAATGTGCACTGCGATGACAGGGATTGTTGCATCCCTTGTCAATCATTGGTATCAATAATAAAACAATCATCAGTTGACTCTACTACTGTTTTAAATGAATTGTAAAGATAACTCTTTGTGGCATTGGTCAGCATAGCCCAGGTCTATATTGGACTGGTTCATAGGCTACAGTGGTCTGGGCCTTTCTTTCTGATTTTGTTACAAACCCTTGCTGGATATATTATTTTATTTTATTCGTCAGAGGAGCTCAATTTGGCCTAAACATAAAATATATTTCTCCAAGGCCCATAACAACTACCAAATTAGAATTTTCAAAGGACTTGGAGAAGAAGGTAACATTCTTTAAAGGAGACATTTCATGGTACCAAATATATCACATTTAAAAAGGAATCCCTTTAGCAGTTCAACTAAACAATTGAATATGCCATATGCTCCTCCCCTACTGCAGAGCCCAACAATTATGAGACTTCTCAGCTACAGTGGATGGAACATAAAGTCTATAACAGTCTATTCTTCCTCTATATATGAATCATAATGGCCCCTTGGCTTAGGAATACTTTACTTATCCTCGCTGCATGCTATTTTGGTACGTTATAGTGCTTCTCCTTTCTACATTCTCATTCTCTGAAATATTAATTTTTCAGATTGCAAAGGTGAAGATGCTGTTGACCAGCAGAGTGGACATGTTACTGCCCTTGAGGGATGACTGGTAACATTCAGCTGTAACTACACTACCAGTAGTCCATCTCTTGATCTCTTCTGGTACATCCAGTTAACTAGGGACTATCCTCAGTATGTCCTGAGATGAGATTGTTATTCAGAAGGGAGAAATAGTGATGAGTTCAAGAAGAGGTTTGATTCCAGGCTGAATTTCACATCTAGCTCTGTCCCCTTGACGATCCAGAGGTTGCAGCTGTCTGACTCTGCTGTGTACTATTGTGCTCTGAAGCCCGCTGTGACAACAGGATGGACAGCCCCCTTACAAAAACAATTTGATAGTGTGATATAAGACTCTTAGAGGGCCTAGTTTAAGCTCCTCCTCAATACTTCCTATAAGAGAGTTAAAGCATTCAAAGACATACAAGTGTGTTTCCTCTCTCCTCAGCTACCCATCTCACAGAAGACATGGAATCTTGGCTGAAGAATATTCTGATTCTTGCTGCTTTTTGTTGTGGTATGATTGATAACTATTATTTTATTATTTGCTTACTGACATTGCATAAATGATCCCTTTCTGTTGTCATGTAAAATAGAGAAAGTTGCACACTCTATATGCTCCCAATGATTTCATGGGTATAAATCATCAAAAACACCCTTTCTTTTTTCAACTGATTTTTATATTTCTCTCCAGAATGCAGAGGAAACAGTGTGTCACAGCCAAAAGGAGTTGAGACTGCCACCGAAGGAGGACAAATAACACTTACCTGTCATTACAAAACAGACGATCCAGGTCCATATCTATTCTGGTACAAACAGCGAGCTAACGACCACCCCAAGTATATGCTTATGCGGCAAAAATTTGGAACGGGGGACAATGCTACTGAGTTCAACGAGAGATTTCATGCTGATCTAGATGCCAACTCCAAATCAGTCCCCTTGACAATCCAGAGGTTGCAGCTGTCTGACTCTGCTGTGTACTACTGTGCTCTGAGGCCCACTGTGACAACAGGATGTACAGCCCCCTTACAAAAACATACTGAGCTACACAATGACAATACACCTGTCTGTACAACACCACTTTGAAATTGACACAGTAACCTTCTCACTACCTCCCTGATACTACCAAGACTAGTGGTAGCAGATGATGGTAATCATAGTGATGATGATGATGATGATGATGATGATGATGATGATGATGATGATGATGATGATGATGATGATTATACAGAAAGTCTTTGTTGTTGCCAATAAAGCTCCCTCCTCCAATTCAGCTCTAAATGTAGATGTACGAGACATAAAAAATATATTTTAATATCTCATGGATTAGAAAACATATATATATATATATATTTATATATATATATATATATATATATATATATATATATATATATATATATATATATATATATATATATATATATATATCTTAGAATTCATCATTAGGAGACAAAAGCAATACTCAGTATTGTGAACAGAGTAATGGAAAAGCCAGCATCAACCACAAGGGGGCCACAGTACCATGTGAGTGTTGCTTTCTACTCTGAAATGACTTGTCTATTTGAACATCCCCTCTGTGCTGTGCTGCATGGTCTAGGCCTGTGCTGCTACAAAGACAGGAATCAAGAGAACACCAACTTCATACAATCTAACATTTGTTTTTGATCTTGCTATAGCATCAGAATACAGCCATCAGTAGCTGAGGTTTGATCTCCAGTGTAAGATTGCTATGCATAAATGTCTAATTCTCCTTGTGGCCTCAGGTAAATGTCTATGATATATTGAGCACCTCACTTTTAACCTCAAGGATCGGACCCTTTTTTTCAATTTTCACCTCAAATGACATACCCAAATCTAACTGCCTGTATTTCAGGACCTGAAGGAAGGATATGCATATTCTTGATACCATTTGAAAGGAAACACTGAAGTTTGTGGAAATGTGAAATTAATTTTAGGAGAATATAACACATTAGATCTGGTAAAAGATAATATAATCTTTGAAATGCAAGAGAAAGGCCACAATATAATATTGCAGTTTAGGCGCAATTTAGCAGTGTGTGTGCAAAGTTTCAGATTGATCCAGTGAAGCATTGCAATACTGGACTATTTTGTATCAAGTCTGGTCAAACGTGCCGAAATGGTCAATTGATACAAAAATTATATGGTAATACAAAATGTAAGTTTACACACTCCCAGGAATGTCATACATGATGGATCATTAGCTTATACAGTAACTTTCACACATCTAGATGGCCGGGCAGGTTGGGTGTGGAGCCAGAGACAGCAGGGGTTCAAACTGTAGAACCCAGTTCCTACATTTTAATATAAAATTGATTTTATCAAACACAACTATGCTACATTTTATCTCTGGGACCCTTAGGATGACAAATCAGAGCAAGATTACTGAATGTAAGTACATTATTTACCTTCAGAGGTGAATGTATAAAACCAGTTGCCGTGATACATTTTTAGTTGTTGTGCACTCTCCTCAAACAATGGCATGGTATATTTTCACTGTAATAGCTACTGTAAATTGGACAGTGCAGTTAGATTAACAAGAATTTAAGCTTTTTGCCCATATAAGACATGTCTATGTCCTGGAAGGTTTGCTGTTACTTACAACAGTCATGCTAATCACATTAGAGCACGTTAGCTCAACCGTCCCGTATACTGGACACCTATCCCGTAGAGGTTAACATTAGTTGCATTGCTAGAATAGAAAATTATACTGTTACCATTACATGATAAGTTACAGTGAGACAGAATGTTATGTACAGTATTTTCATTTGGGTTATAATGTTATATTTCTATGTACAGTAGTAATACTGAATTATCTTTCCAGAACTGATTGCTGGGGATCACATTACTACTGTAAAGCCCAGAGTCATCTGTACAGAAGGAGAATCTGTGACACTGCATTGCTCATATGATACAAGCATTGATAATATTCTGCTTTATTGGTACCAGCAGTACCCTAAACAGGCACCTTAGTTTCTAATGGTTAAGGTGCCACATAAAGTACCAGTTAACATTCCTCTGATAGTTGATATAAATCCACAAAGTATAGCATCTGAACTGGTCATAAAACATCTAACCCTGGCAGACACAGCTCTCTACTACTGTGCTTTTGGGAAAGATAGGAAGGTGCTTACATTTTTCTGAGAAGCTGTACAAAAACCTAAACCTGGATAATTATTTGATTCTCCCATCTTGATGGAAACTGTTTCTAGACCATAATTTAAAATCAGATACACTCAAGATGTTTTTAGGCTACCAGAGTGATTGTGGTAACACCTGTTAATGTCCTCTCTCCTTTCAAGAGTGATTAGTACAGCAGCCTATCAACAACTGCACTAGTGTAGAGAACTGAACCTCTGTAGTAGATGTGACATTGGTCTGTCAGCTAGTGTGACACACAGTAACCCACAGAGGAACACTTTCAGAGGTCAGTCTGAAGATGGTGAAATTAAAGCATTTGAAAATTCAGAAGATCCTCTGAAAAATGAGTTGTGTTGTGTTTAGAGGAGCTAGTATGAGAATGAAAAGGAGAGACTCAAAATGGCATGAAGGTCTTTCCTCAGTGCATTGTAAGCTTGTCTCTCTAACATTAACCATGCTGTGCTGGTTCAACCTGTACTTTGTAACATTTGTGGGCAAGTAAAATACATTTAACAGTCATGATAATGTGTCATTACTTCATTACAAGCTTGGAAAAACAACACACAAGCTTTGACAGGACAAATATAACTTATATCTCACATGTCAGTTTTCTGCAGGTGATAGTTGTGGGGATGGAATTTACTCCAACAGTCTTGAGAAGGATGTGATACATGGTGGCAGTGTCAAGCTTTCCTGCAACTACACAGTATCTGGTGGAGGCAGTGTCTTATGGTATCACCAATATCCCACATCTGCTCCCCAATTCCTCCTCCTTATCTCAGTGTAATCAGCATCTGCTGAGACAATAGTTACTGCAGATCCACCGTATCCTCGACTGTAAGTTAACGTTGACAAAGTGGCTGAACGTGTGGATCTGGAGATCTCCTCTGCTAAAGTGGCAGACTCTGCTCTGTACTACTATGCTCTGAGGCCCACAGTGACAGGAAACCCAGAAACACTACAAATACCTTCCTGTAATAAAGTCCTACTAGTAAACACCATATAATAGGCAAGCAGCTGCAAACAAATGATCATGATTATCCATCAATAATTCTGATGTAATGTGGGTCCATTTACTGAATAGGAGTAGCTAAGATGAGAGGTGGAGAGATGATTCTCCTCTAACTGACTGGAACAGTGGGATGTCTTCAGTTTTGCCTCCTGATAACTCACTGTTACACCCATCACCATGTTTCTCTATCCAGTGTTTCTCCTCTCTGCACTTGTTGGTGAGTATTAGTCTGACATTACATACTTCTAGTTTATTCAAGGTAACTGTCAAGTGTCATTTAAAAATAGCACTTCATAGAAGAAATGTAAATGACTGATTATCTTTTCACTTGTGTCGAATATGACTCAGAGTATGTAATAATTTCCCATGAACTGAAAATGTTAATCTAAACGTAACTTTATTACAGGAGGAAGTTATGAAAATGACATAAAACCAACTTCAGAGACAGAACATGGCATGGAGGGAAGCAGTGTTACACTGTCTTGCAACTACTCTGGCTCAGTAGAAAATCTTCTATGGTATCGGTAATATCCCAGATCAGCACCCCAATTCCTCCTCTACACTACAATCTCCTTAAAACCCTCTGTAATAAGAGCTAAACCTGAAGACCCTTGACTGTCTGTTAATCTGAATAAAGAGAGAACAAATGAATCTGAGATACAAATAATATTACTACACAGATCATACACGTAACGTTAGTTAGCTAGCCAGTCAGCAAACGTTAGCTAGCTAGCTAACAGTACACTTTAACTTGAAATGAAAACAACTTTCTGACAAAATTAGAAACGTGTAATATCTGAAAATGTAGCTAGGTAGACTCTCTTACCCATATACATGGATGGACGCTTCTCCCTCTCTGTCACGGATGCGATGGTTGCCCTTAGTTTGAAGATGTAATCCGGAGACGTGTTTTATACAACAGCCTTCTGTGTGTTCTCTTTTCGACTCCGTCTGCATATTTGCAATTTTCGCTCTCCTTAGCTATCATGCTCTATTTCCACTGATTTCAAAACTCGGTCCTCCAGAAAGTGGAGAGCAACACTTATGCAGTTCTACTACATGATATCTTTCAAAAAAGCCACGTTGGAAAGGATTACCTAAACATAATGACCAGCTCATGTTATGGATAGAAGCGTGCTACATGGCAGACCAATCCGAACTCATCTCTTGGCATGTCCAGCCCACTCATTATCTCAGCCAATCATGGCTAGTGGGAAGGTTGCAGTCTTTTTCCGTGGCTAAACCAACTAAGCTCTTTTATTCATATTTACAGATGGCATACAAGTTTGTTATTAAGGCACATGAAAGTTCACATGTTCCAGAAGGCACTTCTGCCCAAACATAGTACGTTCAAATGGAGCTCCCGTGAAGTAGTGACGCGCGACATATGCCTAGTTTCCTGAAACAAGTCACAAATGAGAGGAGAGGAGAGGAGAGGAGAGGAGAGGAGAGGAGAGGAGAGGAGAGGAGAGGAGAGGAGAGGAGAGGAGAGGAGAGGAGAGGAGAGGAGAGGAGAGGAGAGGAGAGGAGAGGAGAGGAGAGGAGAGATTGAGCATTTTTATAGCAACTGTACTTTGTGGTGGAGCTTGTAGGTAAACAAAGCAGAAATGATCAACTGTTCTTTTTTACAGGTACAAGTATTGAAGACATAATTACTCCAGACAGAGATGTAGTGGATGTTATGGAGGGTAGTAGTGTTAAACTCTCCTGTCGATTCAACAGCTAATTAACCAACAGTGATGTAACCGTCAGCACCCTGGATCCTCTCCACAGTTCCTCATGGACTCCTGTGGGATCATAACCAACACTGATAGTACAAAATGGACCCACACACATGAACAAGAGGAAAACGTGTGGATCTGGAGATCTCCTCTGCTGAAGTGACAGACTCTTCTCTGTACTACTGTTCTTTGAGGCCCACAGTGACAGTTAACCCAGAAACACTGTAGAAAAACAGACAATACAAACACAGATAACATAACATAATAAGTATATAGGTTGTATGTTGGGAGCTTTTGGGAAAGAGCACAGTTAGAAAGATATGGCATTTAGAAGCAAACCGGATGGACATCATGAAAATGATCGGAGAGGTTGAGAGTAGAAGAAGTTCAGGAGCAAAAAAATAAATAAATATATATATATATATATATATATATAGATATATAGAATTATTGTAAAATTAACTCTGTCCATAAGGTGTAGATAGTAAGTATAGACCGGAAGTAGAGGCCTGGGCGTTGTTGTTCACTAATTTACTCCAAGTAGGGAAAGGATGGTGGGGTTGAAAAGTAATAAAGGGGAATATATATATAAAAAATAAAAATAAACATGGGGGATTGGAAGTGATGCAGACAATTACATTGATAGAAGATGCAATCTATCTGCAATATTAAGCTGATCCATCCCCCGTAAAAAAAAAAAAAAAAAAAAAAAAAAAAAAAAACACAGATAACCTGAATCGGAGATCCATAGAAACCCCTAGAACCTGAGTCTGAATATATCTTATCTTCCATCCATTATATTCGCTTCCTTTAATATGAAACGTATTTATATATTCAACTACTTTTTGTGAGGAGGAGGATAATTTAATATACTGTTTGAATAGGTAGGGTTTCAGATGTTTTCGGAAGATGTGCAGGGACTCTGCTGTCCTAGCTTTAGGGGGAAGCGTGTTCCACCATTGGTTTGCCAGGATAGAGAAGAGCTTGGACTAGGCTGAGCGGAAGCTTCCCTCCCATAGGGGTGGGAGGTTCAAGAGACCTGAAGTTGCAGAACGGAGTGCTCGGGTTGGGGTGTAGGGTTTGAGCATAGCCTGAAGGTAGGGATTGGCAGTTCCTCTTGCTGTTCAGTAGTTATGCACCATGGTCCTGGAGTGGATGCGAGCTTTGACTGGAAGCCAGTGGAGTGTGCGGAGGAGTGGGGTGACATGAGAGAACTTGGGAAGGTAGAAAACCAGGCGGGCTGGAGCGTTCTGGATAAGTTGCAGCGGTAAGACGGCACAAGTCGGGAGCCCAGCCAAGAGCGAGTTGCAGTAGTTCAGACGGGAGAGGACAAGTGCCTGCAGTCCAGATGATGGGCACAGGTGGGCAATGGCATCACCATCCTGGCACAGGAGTGGAGCAGCTGACCGGCGCTGGACACTCTGGACTGCAGACCGTCGCTGGAGGCTCTGGACTGCAGACCAACAACTTGGGTTCTACAAGTTTGGTAAAAACAAAAAGAGGAAATGCCCAGCGACGGTCTGCAGTCCAGAGCCTCCAGCGACGAACAGTTTATCATTTCTGCTTTGTTTACCTACAAGCTCCACCACAAAGTACAGTTGCTATAAAAATGCTCAATCTCTCCTCTCCTCTCCTCTCCTCTCCTCTCCTCTCCTCTCCTCTCCTCTCCTCTCCTCTCCTCTCCTCTCCTCTCCTCTCCTCTCCTCTCCCCTCTCCTCTCCTCTCCTCTCCTCTCCTCTCCGTCGCTGGAGGCTCTGGACTGCAGACCGTCGCTGGGCATTTCCTCTTTTTGTTTTTACCAATCTTTTAGAACCTAAATCCAATGACATGGTGACATTTGTTGTTGGTCTGCAGTCCAGAGCCTCCAGCGACGGTCTGCAGTCCAGAGTGTCCAGCGCCGGTCAGCTGCTCCACTCCTGTGCCAGGATGGTGATGCCATTGCCCATCATTTGCGTTAATGTGCACTGCGATGACAGGAATGATCCCACTTTTTGCACATCATTTCAACCCAAAAAATCTATGTGATGACGCTGAATAAATGTGGAAAACTGATTGGGTTTCCAAAAAGTAATCAACGTAAGGGCATTTCCTCTTTTTGTTTTTACCAAACTTTTAGAACCTAAATCCAATGACATGGTGACATTTGTTGTTGGTTTTATGTTGAATTCACGGTTATTTCACAACTGTAGACATTGAACTGATGTCTGTGAGGTTGTGAACATTGTTGCATCCCGTGTCAATCATTGGTGTCAATCATAAAACCAATCATCAGTTGACTTGACTACTGTTTTAAATTTATAATTTAGTAAAGATAACTCTTTGTGACATCGGGCAGCATAGCCCAGGTCTATATTGGACTGGTTCATGGGCTACTGTGGTCTGTGACTTTCTTTCAGATTTTGTTGCAAACCCTTACTAGACATATGATTTGATTTGATTTGTCAGATTTGGCCTGAACAGAAAATATATTTCTCCAAGGCCCATAACAACTGCCCAATTATAATTTGTAAATTATTTGGAGAAGAGGATAACATTCAGTAAAATAAAAATATAATGGTTCTAAATACAGAAAATGTTCAAGGCAGTTCAACAAATCAATGAAATATACAATAAGCTCCTCCCCTACTGCAGAGCCCCACAATTATGAGACTTCCCAGCTACAATGGATGGAACTTAAAGTCTATAACAGTCAATTCTTCCTCTATACATGAATCATAATGGAACATTGGCTTAGGAATACTGTACTTATCCTGGCTGCATGCTATTTTGGTATGGTAAAGTGCTTCTCCTTTCTACATTATCATTCTCTAAACCTTACCATATTATGTGTTATAAAACCCCACATTTATTTTGTTCATATTGCAAAGGTGGAGTGGCTGTTGACCAGCAGAGTGGACATGTTACTGCCCTTGAAGGAGGACTGGTAACACTCAGCTGTAACTACACTACTAGCAGTTGATGGGTTCTGACTTCTAATCTTGAAATATTGTTAATCATCAGGTATCCTATGGAAGTGAGAAGGGCCACAGTCTGGTTTCTACACCAGAAGTTAATGGTTATCTGTAGAAGGAATGTATATGGTGGGGTCAATTAAGGTTGGATATGAGCCAGGGACTTGGAATGTACTGAGTAAAGGAATGACAATCACATGGTTGAGGTCACTGATAAGGGTGGAGAGCTGTGGATTAGTGAGGAAGGGGGCCGAGGTCAGGTCATGTCACATTAAGGGAGAAGGAACCGTTTATTACCCACATCACTTAACTTCCTGTCTAGCAATAAAGATGTAATGTTTAGAGGGAAGGAGGAGTTCTCCTAAATTGGAGTATATATATTTGTGTTGGTGGGAACATGTCTTTGTCAGTTCAGCTGTCTGACCCTTGGGTGAATAAACTTGGTTTGAGCTTTTATTAAGTTGTCCGTGAGTTTTTACTCTGGTTATTTAAAACCTAACACAGTACGACGTCTCCTGATCTCTTCTGGTACATCCAGTTAACTAGGGACTCTCCACAGTATGTCCTGAGAAGAGATCGTTATTCAGAAGTGAGCAATAGTGATGAGTTCAAGAAGAGGTTTGATTCCAGGCTGAATTTCACATCTAGCTCTGTCCCCTTGACGATCCAGAGGTTGCAGCTGTCTGACTCTGCTGTGTACTATTGTGCTCTGAGGTCCACTGTGACAACAGGATGGACAGCCCCCTTACAAAAACTATTTGATAGTGTGATATAAGACTCTTAGAGGGCATAGTTTAAGCTCCTCCTCCACCTCAATACTTCCTATAAGACAGAGTTAAAGCATTCAAAGACACATACAAGTGTGTTTGCTCTCTCCTCAGCTACCCATCTCACAGTTGACATGGAAGCTTGGCTGAAGAATATTCTGATTCTTACTGCTTTTTGTTGTGGTATGATCGATAACTATGATTTTATTTATTTGCTTACTGACATTGCATAAATATCCCTTTCTGTTGTCATGTAAAATAGAGAAAGTTGCACACTCTATATGCTCCAAATGATTTAATGGGTATAAATCATCAAAAACACCCTTTCTTTTTTCAACTTATTTTTTTATTTCTCTCCAGAATGCAGAGGAGACAGTGTGTCACAGCCAAAAGAAGATGAGACTACTACCGAAGGAGGACAAATAACACTTACCTGTCATTACAAAACAGACGATGCAAGTCCATATCTATTCTGGTACAAACAGCGAGCTAACGACTACCCCAAGTATATGCTTATGCGGCACAAATTTGGAACGGGGGACAATGCTACTGAGTTCAAGGAGAGATTTCATGCCGATCTAGATGCCAACTCCAAATCAGTCCCTTTGACTATCCAGAGGTTGCAGCTGTCTGACTCTGCTGTGTACTACTGTGCTCTGAGGCCCACTGTGACAACAGGATATACAGCCCCCTTACAAAAACATACTGAGCTATAAAATGACAATACACCTGTCGGGACAGTATACAACACCACTTTGAAATGGACACAGTAACCTTCTCACTACCTCCCTGATACTACCAAGACTAGTGGTAGCAGATGATGATAATCATAGTGATGATAATGATGATGATGATGATGATGATGATGATGATGATGATGATGATGATGATGATGATGATGATTATACAGAAAGTATTTGTTGTTGCCAATAAAGCGCCCTCCAATTCAGCTCTAAATGTAGATGTACGAGACATAAAAATTATATTTTAACATCTCATGGATTAGAAAACATACAGATATATCTTAGAATTCATCATTAGGAGACAAAAGCAATGCTCAGTATTGTGAACAGAGTAATGGAAAAGCCAGCATCAACCACAAGGGGGCCACAGTACCATGTGAGTGTTGCTTTCTACTCTGAAATGACCTAGTCTATTTGAACATCCCCTCTGTGCTGTGCTGCATGGTCTAGGCCTGTGCTGCTACAAAGACAGGAATCAAGAGAACACCAGCTTCATACAATCTAACATTTGTTTTTGATCTTGCTATAGCATCAGAATACAGCCATCAGTAGCTGAGGTTTGATCTCCAGTGTAAGACTGCCATGCATACATGTCTAATTCTCCTTGTGGCCTCAGGTAAATGTCTATGATGTATTGAGCACCTCACTTTTAACCTCAAGGATCTGACCATTTTTTTCAATTTTCGCCTCAAATGACATACCCAAATCTAACTGCCTGTATTTCAGGACCTGAAGGAAGGATATGCATATTCTTGATACCATTTGAAAGGAAACACTCTGAAGTTTGTGGAAATGTGAAATTAATTTAGGAGAATATAACACATTAGATCTGGTAAAATATAATATTATCTTTGAAATGCAAGAGAAAGGCCACAATATAATATTGCAGTTTAGGCGCAATTTAGCAGTTTGTGTTCAAAGTTTCAGATTGATCCAGTGAAGCATTGCAATTCTGGACTATTTTGTATCAAGAGTGCCCAAATGTGCCGAATTGGTAAATTGATACAAAAATGATATGGTAATACAAAATGTAAGTTTACACACTCCCAGGAATGTCATACATGATGGATCATTAGCTTATACAGTAACTTTTACACATCTAGATGGCCAGGCAGGTTGGGTGTGGAGCCAGAGACAGCAGGGGTTCAAACTGTAGAACCCAGTTCCTACATTTTAATATAAAATTGATTTTATCAAACACAACTATGCTACATTTTATCTTTGGGACCCTTAGCATGACAAATCAGAGCAAGATTACTGAATGTAAGTACATTATTTACCTTCAGAGGTGAATGTGTAAAACCAGTTGCCGTGATACGTTTTTTGTTGTTGTGCACTCTCCTCAAACAATACCATGGTATTTTTGACTGTAATTGCAACTGTAATTTGGACAGTGCAGTTAGATTAACAAGAATTTAAGCTTGCTGCCCATATATGACATGTCTATGTCCTGGAAGGTTTGCTGTTACTTACAACAGTCATGCTAATCACAATAGAGTACGTTAGCTCAACCGTCCCGTATACTGGACACCTATCCCTTAGAGGTTATCATGTGTTGCATTACTAGAATATAAAATTATACTGTTACCGTTACATGATATGTTACAGTGAGACAGAATGTTATGTACAGTATTATCATTTTGATTTTATTGTTCTATTTCTGTGTACAGTGGTAATACTGCATTTACTGCATTATCTTTACAGAACTGATTACTGGGGATCACATTACTCCTGTAAAGCCCAGAGTCATCTGTACAGAAGGAGAATCTGTGACACTGAGTTGTTCATATGATACAAGCAGTGATAATATTCTGCTTTATTGGTACCAGCCGTACCCTAAACTTGCACCTCAGTTTGGTTAAGGTGCCACATAAAGTACCAGTTAACATTCCTCTGATAGTTGATATAAATCCACAACGTATAGCATCTGAACTGGTCATAAAACATCTAACCCTGGCAGACACAGCTCTCTACAACTGTGCTTTTGGGAAAGCAAGGAAGGTGCTTACATTTTTCTGAGAAGCTGTACAAAAACCTAAACCTGGAAAACTATTTGATTCTCCCATCTTGATGGAAACTGTTTCTAGACCATAATTTTAAATCAGATACACTCAATATGTTTTTAGGCTACCAGAGTGATTGTGGTTACACCTGTAAATGTCCTCTCTCCTTTCAAGAGTGATTAGTACAGCAGCCTATCAACAACTGCACTAGTGTAGAAAATTGAACCTCTGTAGTAGATGTGACATTGGTCTGTCAGCTAATGTCACACAGTAACCCACAGAGGAACACTTTCAGAGGAGAGTGAATGCATGCAAACATCAGTCTGAAGATGGTGAAATCAAAGCATTTAAAAATACATTTTTCTTCCTGTTATTCATTCACTTCAGAAGATCCTCTGAAAAATGAGTTGTGTTGTGTTTAGAGGAGGAGCTAGTATGAGAATGAAAAGGAGAGACTCAAAATGGCATGAAGGTCTTTCCTCAGTGCATTGTAAGCTTGTCTCTAACATTAACCATGCTTTGCTTGTTCAACCTGTTCATTTTAACATTTGTGGGTAAGTAAAATACATTTAACAGTCATGATAATGTGTCATTACTTCATTACATGCTTGGAAAAACAACACACAAGCTTTGACAGGACAAATATAACTTATATTTCACATATCAGTTTTCTGCAGGTGATAGTTCTGGGGATGGAACTTTCTCCAACAGTCTTGAGGAGGATGTGATACATGGTGGCAGTGTCAAGCTTTCCTGCAACTACACAGTATCTGGTGGAGGCAGTGTCTTATGGTATCACCAATATCCCACATCTGCTCCCCAATTCCTCCTCCTTATCTCAGTGTAATCAGCATCTGCTGAGACAATAGTTACTGCAGATCCACCGAATCCTCGACTGTCAGTTAACTTTGACAAAGTGGCTGAACGTGTGGATCTGGAGATCTCCTCTGCTAAAGTGGCAGACTCTGCTCTGTACTATTGTGCTTTGAGGCCCACAGTGACAGGAAACCCAGAAACACTACAAATACATTCCTGTAATAAAGTCCTACTAGTAAACACCATGTAATAGGCAAGCAGCTGCAAACAAATGATCAGAGATCATGTTCATGATGATCCATCAATAATTCTGATGTAATGTGTGTCCATTTACTGAATAGGAGTAGCTAAGATGAGAGGTGGAGAGATGATTCTCCTCTAACTGACTGGAACAGTGGGATGTCTTCAGTTTTGCCTCCTGATAACTCACTGTTACACCCATCACCATGTTTCTCTATCCAGTGTTTCTCCTCTCTGCACTTGTTGGTGAGTATTAGTCTGACATTACATACTTCTAGTTTATTCAAGGTAACTGTCAAGTGTCATTTAAAAATAGCACTTCGTAGAAGAAATGTAAATGACTGATTATCTTTTCACTTGTATCGAAAATGAGTATGTAATAATTTCCCATGAACTGAAAATGTTAATCTAAACGTAACTTTATTACAGGAGGAAGTTATGAAAATGACATAAAACCAACTTCAGAGACAGAACATGGCATGGAGGGAAGCAGTGTTACACTGTCTTGCAACTACTCTGGCTCAGTAGTCAATCCTCTATGGTATTGTCAATAACCCAGATCAGCACCCCAATTCCTCCTCTACACTACAATCTCCTTAAAACCCTCAGTAATAAGAGCTAAACCTGAAGACCCTTGACTGTCTGTTAATCTGAATAAAGAAAGAACAAATGGCTCTGAGATATAAATAATATTCTTACACAGATCATACACGTAACGTTAGTTAGCTAGCCAGCCAGCAAACGTTAGCTAGCTAGCTAACAGTACACTTTAACTTGAAATGAAAACAACTTTCTGACAAAATTAGAAATGTGTAAAATCTGAAAATGTAGCTTCTCCCTCTCTGTCACGGATGCCATGGTTGCCCTTAGTTTGAAGATGTAATCCGGAGACGTGTTTTATACAACAGCCTTCTGTGTGTTCTCTTTTCGACTCCGTCTGCATATTTGCAATTTTCGCTCTCCTTAGCTATCATGCTCTATTTCCACTGATTTCAAAACTCGGTCCTCCAGAAAGTGGAGAGCAACACTTATGCAGTACTACTACATGATATCTTTAAAAAAAGCCACGTTAGAAAGGATTACCTACACATACTGACCAGCTCTTGTTATGGACAGAAGCGTGCTACATGGCAGACCAATCCGAACTCATCTCTTGGCATGTCCAGCCCACTCATTATCTCAGCCAATCATGGCTAGTGGGAAGGTTGCAGTCTTTTTCTGTGGCTAAACCAACTAAGCTCGTAATTTAACAATGTTATTCGTATTTACAGATGGCATACACGTTTGTTATTAAGGCACATGAAAGTTCATATGTTCCAGAAGGCATTTCTGCCCAAACATAATACGTTCAAATGGAGCTCCTGTGAAGTAGTGACGGGCGACATAGGGCTAGTTTACTGAAACAAGTCACAAATGAGAGGAGAGGAGAGGAGAGGAGAGGAGAGGAGAGGAGAGGAGAGGAGAGGAGAGGAGAGGAGAGGAGAGGAGAGGAGAGGAGAGGAGAGGAGAGGAGGAGAGGAGAGGAGAGGAGAGGAGAGGAGAGGGAGGGAGGAGAGGGAGAGGAGAGATTGAGCATTTTTATAGCAACTGTACTTTGTGGTGGAGCTTGTAGGTAAACAAAGCAGAAATGATCAACTGTTCTTTTTTACAGGTACAAGTATTGAAGACATAGTTACCCCAGACAGAGATGTAGTGGATGTTATGGAGGGTAGTAGTGTTAAACTCTCCTGTAGATACAACAGCTAATTAACCAACAGTGATGTTACCACCAGCACCCTGGATCCTCTCCACAGTTCCTCATAATGGACTCCTGTGGGATCATAACCAACACTGATAGTACAAAATGGACCCTCACACATGAACAAGAGGAAAATGTGTGGATCTGGAGATCTCCTCTGCTGAAGTGACAGACTCTGCTCTGTACTACTCTCTGAGGCACAGAGTGACAGGAAACCCAGAAACACTAGAAAAACAGACAATACAAACACAGATAAGTTGCAGTGGTTAGACGGCACAAGCGGGGAGCCCAGCCAATAGCGAGTTGCAGTAGTCCAGACGGGAAAGGACAGAATTAGGACATTGCCGCTTCCTGTGTGAGGTAGGGTCGCACTATACGGATGTTGTAAAGCAAGAACTTGCAGGAGCGAGTCACTACTTTGATATTTGCAGAGAACAACAGGGTGTTGTCCAGGGTCATGCCAAGGTTCTTTGCACTCAAGGAGGGCGACACTGTGGAGTTGTCAACCGTGATGGAGAGGTCTTTGAGCGGGCAGGCCTTTCCCAGGAGGAAGAGCAGTTCCGTCTTGTCGAGGTTGTGCTTGACTGAACATTCTCTCATATAAATGTATCTGAATTGATGCAATCTTTATGGTCATTTAGGAAACCAAACCTTCATCACCACCACCACACTTCATTAAAAGCCAGCAATTTATGTCATAACCTGGGCATAGATGCCAGTTCTGATCCTGGGATCTGGTAACTGGAGGGCTGCTGGGTTCAGATCCTGACTACACCGGTGTTGCACTGCCGCGACCCTGTGCTCCTCTCAATTGTGTGTGTGAGATGTGATATCTGGGGGAGTTGACTAATGCGAGCAGAAGACACATTTCCGTTGTTCGCTGTAACATGGACAATAAAGTTGTATAGGGAGGAGCTATGAAGATCCTGTTCAAACCGTAAATATGATTACAGAAGACATATTTCTGTGAATTAGTTTGTCCATCATACAGGTGATGAATGATGATGTTACTTGGTTTAACCTGGATGTTCTCTACATTTTGTACAGGTGAGCCTTACACATTTTTTTAATTGAGCACGTATTGTTGATGGAAATGAAGATTGACTTGCAATTGATTTAGTTTCTATATTCTCTTTACAGGACAGATTTCTGGGGATCACATTACTCCTGTAAGGCATGAAGTAATGAGTACAGAGGGAAAACCTGTGACTCTGAGCTGCTCATATGATATAACCAGCAATTATCCTCTGCTTTAATGGTACAGGCAATATCCTAATCAGGCTCCTCAGTTTCTACTGTATAAAGGTGCCAGATCAATTACCTGGGAACATATCCCTGATAAGAGACATACATCCAAAACATCTCAGTCATCAACTGAACTGGTCATAACAAGCCTAACCCTGGCAGACACAGCTCTCTACTACTGTGCTCTCAGAGATTGTTATGACCAGTATTGTTATACCCAGTGATACAATGTGAATAAGATGCTGTACAAATACATGCACACCAAAAATGCTTTGATGAAGCGGGGATCAAATTTGAACATCTAACCACAATTTCATATCATAATGGCAGAGGTTGAGATCAGAGAATTGCGGTCACAACTGTACTGTGTGCAATCTAGTGTTTGTCTGTCTTCCTATTCAACGCACTGTGAGAAATATGTATTCTTCACTCTTCAATCAGTAGTCTTCAATTCCACTTAGACAGGTTTTTTTTAATAGTGGTTGGAAAAGCACTTGGGAATATGACAGTGTAACAATGTTATTGCTTATAGTTGGCCATACTCACAATTCACACTGTTTTGTGGTGTAGTATGAAAGTCTCCTGAAGGGGGCAACCTAACAAAGAACACACACCTGAATCAGAGGATGCCATACAGACAGACACCTCCCCATGGTCTACTACTGCATGTAATACAGAACAACATGAAGCATCAACAGTAGGACAGAGGGTATCAAAGCTCTGCGATAGATAGATCAGCATTGTTCTGGCTCCTTACCTTTTACACTTCAAACTGACTGACTAGTCATGAGAAACTGGCTGATCCTGCATGTTCTGGCTACATGCTGCTTTGGTATAACATCACTCTGTTCATCTGTCTCTTTCTTTGTACATTTTATTTATATACATTCTTGTTATATGTTGTGAAGATATATTTATCTTTCTTTTCAGGGTGCAGAGCAGAAGACAATGTTGCACAGCCAACAGAAAATGTAATGGTCGTAGAAGGACAACAGACAACACTTACTTGTCTATATGATACAACTGATCGATTGCCATATCTCTTTTGGTACAAACAACAAGCAAATGGCAAGCCCATGTTTATGCTGAGAAAGGATACAGTTGGAGTCGGGGAAACTGCTGCTGAATTCAAGGAGAGATTTCATGCCCGTCTGAATGTCACAGCAAAATCAGTCCCCTTGATGATCCAGAGGGTGCAGCTGTCTGACTCTGCTGTGTACTACTGTGCTCTGAAGCCCACTGTGACAACAGGAGATACAGCCCCCTTACAAAAACTATTGTTTTTTCATGTGCCCATAGAAACATACAGTACCACCGAAAAGTTGGGACCAAAGCACAATATGTATTTCAATATACTTTATGTACAGTAGTAGACCTGAATTAGATACTCTGTAGGATACATGAGTGTTTATACCTGAATTATAATAGAATATGTGTACGTTTTTAAACTCATTTTTTCAGATAAATTAATCATACTCACTTCATACAACATGTAAGTAATTTCATGTGAGCTAGACATGTAGGTTTTACACTTTGTCTATTGTACTGCAAAGAGTGCTAATATAATATTGACAAGGAAATATTGACCCATACATTTCCATTCAATCTTCCCTCTCTCTGAACAGGCTCCTCCTTCATGTCTGTCAGTTGATGGTGATATACAGGCTGAGATGGACATGGAAGAGAGAGAGAGGATCTCTACCTCTTACTGTAACTCACAGTCACTCTCTGTGTGTTCTGCATAACCATGGTGCTCTGTCTGATCATCTGGCTGGTTCTTGATGTTTTGCACTTTGGTATGATGGAACTTTTTCTCTCATTGCTGTCTGACTCTGCTGTGTACTACTGTGCTCTGCAGCCAACAGTGTCAGGAAACCTGTGCACACTGTACAAAAACCTAAAACTGAATAAAACTGACATCCCCTAGACATCACGTCATTTTGAATTGCATCATTACCGTGTATAGACAAAACATACTCTACATACACTGAAAATGAGCAATGAAAGAATTTCGATAAACAATAAAAAATACAAAATTAAATGTTGAATGTAAAAGTGACAGAAACTCATTAAGTCTATCTGATTGTGTTGCTGATTTATACTTCAGATTTTAGATTTAAATAGGAAAACAAAATAAACTGTGAATGAATGAATTGCCTCATTTTGAACAAATGAATATCTTCATATCTTGTATCAAACAATGTTTACCCTATGACATCACTGTAGACATGTCAGGTCCTTCTGCCAACTCTGTTGCCCTAAAATCAAGAAAATAAATGGGGATAAATAACACAGTTTTATCCAATATCCAATAGAGGGAGACTAAGGTAATCATATTTCAGTGCAGCCCTGCATTATGAGGATGTAACAGTGGCATCAAGCAGCAGCAAGAAGTCTGCTGTTACTTCTGCTCATCTGACAACTCTCTGTATTTTGGGGTGGGGCTTCAAAGGTTTGAGAAGAGATGGTCCATTCACAACTGTAAGTTTTTTTGTATACACAAATCTTGCTGTGCTGTGTGTTATCATTTTAACTTCCAGTTTCAGCCACAATGTCAACCCCCACATTTATTTTGCTTTTAGTACTTGCATGTAAGTAATCTACTATAATTAGTCAATTTTTAGTGCCGTTATTTTGAATCTAAACTAAGTGTTGATGCGTTGAAAATAGATCTATAACAGAAGAATAACATATTTTGCATCTCTTGCAGGTGACAGTAATGGTCAGACCTGCTTATCCTGGAAATCTTATCCTGCTTATCATGGATGGTGTTGGGTCTACATCACAGACTCCAGGTCTAGATCCTTGACTGTCAGCCAATCTAAATGATGAGAAGAACCGTGTGGATCTTGAGATCTCCTCTGCTGAAGTGACAGACTCTGCTCTGTACTACTGTGCTCTGAGGCCCACAGTGACAGGAAACCCAGAAACACTACAATACTGTATAACAACTGTACAGAATCAGGGGATAACAATCCTTGTTGTGAACTGTTTCAGGTCTAATTATTATCTGTCAGTTCCAACTCAGGATTACAACACCTTAACGCTTAAAGAAGTCCACATTATCAGTGCTTCTTCACCCCAATCAATAGCATTTAAATCAACAAGATATACAGTATAACTCCCTATCTTCTCTAGAGGGCCTCACCTCAACACTACACAAACCTCTATTTCTCTGAGCAGGTGGCTCCTCCTCCTGACAGTGGAGGTAGTTGCAGGGCAGACAGACAGCAGCCATACAGAACATATCCCATATCACATCCTGCAGATCACAGTACACTGCATATCACATATCACAGTACACTGCACATCAGACAGTTGAGATAACCCCTGTCCTGTAGCTGCATTTCTGTCACAAGCACCATGATGTTGCTCACTTCAATCTTACTGTTTTCACCACTTGCTAAGTACGGTTTAATGTAAAGTCATTTCCACACTGTCTATTGGCACTATATTATTCTTGAATATTGTTCTGCTTCAATTATGAAATATGAAGTTCTAGTCATGTACTGTATTTATTAGTCTTCATGTGTAATTTCTTCTCCTTCACAGGTGATACTTCAGAGGATGATATTACTTCAACCAGCCCTGAGGAGTACTTTATAGAGGGTAGCAGAGTTAAGCTCTCCTGTAACTATACAGTAAAAGCAGATAGTCTGCTGTGGTACAGACAGTACTCTGGATCAGGTATCCAATTCTTTACCTCATAACAACTACCAATAATCCATATGAAGTTAGAGGTCATCCACAAGACCTTCAACTGTCTGTTACACTGAACAAGGAGAGAACCCGTGTGGATCTGGAGATCTCCTCTGCTGAAGTGACAGACACCACTCTGTACTACTGTGCTCTGAAGCCCACAGTGACAGGAAACTCAGAGACAGAACATGGCATGGAGGGAAGCAGTGTTACACTGTTTTGCAACTACTCTGGCTCAGCAAAACTAATTTATGTTCTAAGGTATCGTCAATATCCCAGATCAGCACCCCAATTCCTCCTCTAGACTACAGTCACCTCAAACCTCTCTGTATTTATAGCTAAACCTGAAGAACTTCGACTGTCTGTTAATCTGACTGAAGAGAGAACCCGTGTGGATCTGGAGATCTCCTCTGCTGAAGTGACAGACTCTGCTCTGTACTACTGTGCTCTGAGGTCCACAGTGACATGAAACCCAGAAACACTGTACACAAACCTAACATCGCCTGAGAGAATATTTGTGACTCGTTTCAGGAAACTAAGTCTATGTCACAAGTCACGACTTCACAGGAGAAGCATTGGAATGTTTATTTTTTATCAAAATGTGTTTTTTGGCAGAAATGCCTTCTGGAACATTTGAACTTTCATGTGCTTGTATGCCATCAACTTGTATGCCATCTGTAAATACAAATAAAGTTTTTAAAATACGAGCCTAGCTGGTTTAGTCACAGAAAAAGACAGGAACCTTCCCGCTAGCCATGATTGGCTGAGATAATGAATGGGCTGGACATGCCGAGAGATGAGTTTCGGATTGGTCTGCCGTGTATGACGCTTCTGTCAATAAAATGAGCTGCTAGTTAATCCTTTCTACTACAGTTTTTTTGAAAGATATAACGTTAGCCATGGCGAACTGAAAATGTGTTGCTAATGCTCTCAATAACATTGCTGCCCTGAGTTTATCAGGCGCTATCGACAAAGGTCAGTGGGAAAAGGTTGTGATGGACTACTTTCAAGAGGACAACGGTACCATGCTCACTCTTTCTGACTCTGAAAATGAATCAGACGATAAGGAAATCCCTGATTTAGGTAAAAATCATTTTCATTGAAGAAGACATTGTAGAGTCTTCTGATGACAGTGATGGGGAAGAAGTTGACCGAGTTTTGAAATCAGTGGAATGTCTGGTAGAAGCAGAGTATGATAAGGAAATTAATACAATTCTGGCGTTTGATTGCAAATGCAGAGGGAGTCAAAAAGAGAACACAGAAGGCTGTTGTATAAAACACCTGTCTCCGGATCCATGACAGAGAGGGAGAAGCGTCCTCCCATGTATACTTGTAAGAGAGTCTTGCTAGCTACATTTTCAGGTATTACCCGTTTCTAATTTTGACATAAAGTATTTTCATTTGAAGTTAAAGTTTACTGATTCCTAGCTAGCTAATGTTAGCTGGCTGGCTCGCTAACTAACGTTACATCATGCATTGGGATTCATTGTTTACCTAGCTAGCTATCTAGCTACATGTCTTAACAAAGTACTCTTGTCTTAGTGTGCCAGAGTGCAGAATAACTGATTAATTTATGAATGCTAAACACCCGTTGAATATGGCCGGTGTCAGTAAACACCGGCAAAAAGCCGAATTACATTTTTGCCAGCAGCACAGTTACAGTCACCAACGCTCTGGATAACATGAAAACAGCCTAACCAACTCTGCTAGGGCGAGTAAAATGGTCAGAGTGGGGTGTTTTCACATTATGTGTCTGGAAGTAGCTAGCCAATGTTAGCCAGTTAGCTTGGGTGCTTGACTGTCGTTGTGAGGTCAGAACTTTCGGATCAATCCTACTCATTGGCCAGAGCATCCAGTGTACGCTCTGAATGCGAAACGCTCTGAATTTACAATGGACAATCTGACAGCACAGTTGCAGTCACCAACACTCTGGATAACATAACAGCCTAACCAGCTCTTCTAGGGCGAGTAATGTTCAGTGAGCTGTTCTCTCTCACTTAGATGTCTGGAAGTAGCTAGCAAGTTAATACAGAACGCTCGGATCAACCCTTAAAGAGATGAGTGGGGCTAAAATTTAAGAGGGTGTGAACGATGCTGAATGGGTGTAGACAAAGAAGAGCTCTCCAATAGTAGTACCAAAACATTCAAAGGCCATTTTCTCAGAAGTGAGTTTACAAGTTTATCAACTTTCAAAGCAAAATTACTTTCCCATTGTTCCTCAACTGTAGTGTATGAGATACCATTGTGTAGCTCATAGTCTCTAATTTCATCCAATGTAAAAAACATCAATACAAATGTTGCTACATTAGACTGTTTTGAGCCGGTCGGTCACATATGGTATTATCAATATCAAGTGGTAATACACTTTGAAACACCAAGTGTGGATTTACTGTACACTGTCTATATTGACTCAGTAATCCATGTTGTTCTTTTTTACAGGTACAAGTGTTGAAGCCATAATTACTCCAGACAGAGATATAGTGGATGTTATGGAGGGTAGTAGTGTTAAACTCTCCTGTAGATACAACAGCTCATTAACCAACAGTCTGTTATGGTATCGCCAGCACCCTGGATCCTCTCCACAGTTCCTCACACTGGACTACTCTGGGACGATAACCAACACCGATAGTACAAAATGGACCCTCACACAGGAAAAGGAGGACAACAGTGTGGATCTGGAGATCTCCTCTGCTGAAGTGACAGACTCTGCTCTGGACTACTGTGCTCTGAAGCCCACAGTGACAGGAAACCCAGAAAAAAGTATAAGTTAAATGAAATAAAATACAAAAAACTGCAACAATTGCACTGTATTCATTTCAAACTTTTTTCTTCATAATGATGTATAACATAAATTGTGTAATATTGTTAAAAATAAATGAATGCATCAATCCTACGATGTACATTAAACAAGGATTGCATGGCACACACATAAACTAACATAAACTAAACTTAATTTGTAAGTCGCTCTGGATAACAGCGTCTGCTAAATGACGTAAATGTAATGTAAATGTAATAAACAAATTTGGTTATTCACCACCCCCTGTCTTTGGCAGTAGGTGACACTACAACCAGTGGCGGTTTTACACGGAGGCCGGGGTAGGCCCGTGCCTCCCTGGAAATGTCCCTGGCCACCCCTGTGGCCCCCCCGTGCTGACCAAATAAAAAATTATGAATTTATAACTATTTTACACGCGAGCGCCAAAAGCGGAACTAATGCAACGCTCTACACGGCAACGTTCTACACGGGTAAATTAGAGTGGCGCACCCAAAAACTGTATCCTGCCATCTGCCTGCCTGCCACGTGTGGTGCTGCTTCGGTGAATGAGAGCTCAGCAACTACTATTTGCGAGAGGAGCTACGATTTGCAGGAGTCGAAGGTAAGGAAAACGATTTAATATCATAAGTGACTTGTTGTTCTTGCACTTGCCTACATGTTCCTTTTGTTCCTCACACATAAATCAAATCAAGTTTTTAAATGTCTGGTCTCGATTTGTTTAGAAATGTAATCATATCTAAGCAAACTCATCGAAGCAGAAGCAAATATCCAAATGTTAGTAGGCTATCCTTGCTAGGTCTACACAATGTTGTGATGTTAACCACGTAACTTCATCCGTCTTGGCTGTTGCATCGCGATAACAAATACATTTTTAGTAAAGTAATCAACAGGTTATCTGCCAGTGTTAAGTAGGGAGGGATGGTTAGGTAACAAAATGTAATGCATGCCCCTACGTTTTTTCTTCTTCTAATAGTTATCATGAAACGAGGAAGGGACATAAAGTCATTTTTTGCCCCAGCAAACAAAAAAGTGAGAGAAACAAATCGAGGTTTTGAGAAAGTTGAGGAAGAGGGAGAGCCAGCATGTGATGAAAGTGAGGGGTCTGACAAAGAGAGGGAAATTCCAGGGAGGAGGATGAAGAAGAGGGTGAGGAGGATGAAGAAGAGGGTGAGGAGAATGAAGAAGAGGGTGAGGAGAATGAAGAAGAGGGTGAGAAGCATGAAGAAGAAAGCATACAGGGACAGAGAGATGAACAGCCAGAGGGACAGCAAGTGGATCCATGTGGATCAAGTACTGCACCATCAGGTTTGTGATGAGGAAGGTTCTTACTATTTGCAAAGCAATGCAATTACAATGTAATGGTAGGCCTGCTGGGTGTCCTTAAAATGCTGCTTTCTGCTGTTAATTCTTTTTTGTGTCAATATGGCTCTGTTTTTTTTTTTAAGTAAATACTTTGCCTACATTTTGAAATACATGCAGATATACAGTAAATAAATGTTGTAGTTGTGCCCTATGTTTACTGTCCATCTTCTTCAGATATCAGCAAGTCTAAGTATGACGTACCAGTACAGCCGAACTTGAAGATATTCCCAACCACACTGATGGGGGACAGAAGACGAAGCTTCAGACCAAACTGGTACACTACTCATCCATGGCTTGAGTATTCTGTAATGACGGACTCTACATGTTGCTATGCATGTAGACATTTTAGCACACCAAATGCCCCAGACACCGTTTTTGTTTCAACACCTGGTTTTACAAACTGGAAAAAGGCAACTATGAGAAATGCAGGGTTTTCACTACATGCAAAGTCTGAACGACACAAGTGTGCAATGATCGCATGGAGGGATTATCAAAGAGCTGTTAGAACTGACGCAACACTAACAGATCTCCTTGACAAAGAACACACTAAACAAGTACAAGAAAATCAGGCATACATTAAAACAGTTGGGGAAGTGCTGTTGCTTACAGCTACACAAAACATAGCACAAAGAGGACATGATGAATCTGAAGGGTCCACTAACAAAGGAAACTTTAGGGAAATTCTTAACACAGTTGCTAACCACGACCAACTTGTTAAGAGAAGATTAACTTCCATTCACAATGCAAAGTACACAAGCAAGATCATCCAGAATGAGGTTTTGGGTTGTTTGGCAGAAATGGTTCGGTCTGAAATCATAGAAGAAGTGAAGAAAAGTGAGGTTTTTAGCGTCATGGCAGATGAAACAAAGGATATTTCAAAAAAAGAACAGATGTCCTTCACACTCAGGTACTATTACAATGGGGCCATTAAGGAGAGTTTTCTCCATTTTGAATCTGCAGAGAGGTTAGATGCAGCAGGGCTTACTGGAAAAATAGTACACTTACTGGAACGTTATGGCCTGGACTACAAAAATAACCTTGTAGGCCAAGCGTACGATGGCGCTGCCGTTATGAGCGGTAAGCATTCAGGGGTTCAGGCAAGGATCAAAGAACAGGCTAAAGTTGCCTTCTACGTCCATTGTAGTGCTCATTGTCTGAATTTAGTGTTAGTTGATGTAGTCAAAAGTGTCCCAGAAACGGAGGAGTTTTTTTCTTTGTTACAGAGTCTTTATATGTTTACTTCTTCCTCATATGTGCACCCAAAATGGCTGTCTCTCCAAAGAGAAATGTATGGCAGAACCAGAGAGCTGCAACGTTTAAGCGACACACGTTGGTCATGCCGATTTCTAGCCCTACGTAATATCATGGACACTCTACCTGCCCTTAAACGACTACTGCAAGAGATTGCTCAAGAACGTCATGGTGAAAGAACTGTTGAGGCCCGAGGTCTTCTTGCTCAAATTGACCTAGAATTTGTTGTGCATCTTGTTACTCTGCGTAAGTTGTTTGGGGAGACAAAGCTATTGTCTGACATGTTACAGTCACAAACTGTTGATCTGTCAAGTGCTGTTGACTTAGTAAATGCTTTAGTCCTGACATTGAAAGACCACAGGCAGGAGTCTTTCTTTGATGAGTTGTGGGATGAAGCATTGAATATTTGTGAGCAGTGTGATTCTGCAACAAGGTCAGTGGCGAAACGTCAGAAAATGCTGAGCTCTAGACTCAGTGGCTACTGCACGCTAAGCACTGTTGGTCAGAGGGAGGTAGAACGTGACAAAGATATGTTTCTCACATCATTTTTCTATCCTGTAATTGACAGCATGCTCAATGAGTTGAACAGACGTTTCTCCAATACAAACTGTGAGCTCATGAGAAGCATACAGTCTCTCAGTCCCCAGAGTGATACCTTTTTAAAGGAGAGCAATGTTTTTTCATTTGGCCGTTTGTATAATGCAGACATTGATGATTTAGGGCATGAGCTCCATCAATTTAAGAGAGTTTTGGACAGAAAAATACAGAGTGGTGAAGTCAAAAAGCCATGCAGTACAGTTGAGCTGGTTTGTTTTATTGAGCCATACAGGGACGTTTTCTTTGAGCTCTTTAGACTGTGCAAGATTGCTGTAACCCTTCCTGTAAGCTCAGCCTCTTGCGAACGCAGTTTCTCCACACTGAAACTGATAAAAACCTTCCTGCGGTCCACCACTAGTGATGAGAGACTCAGTGATCTTGGTGTCCTGAGCATAGAGTCCAGAAGGGCCAAGGCTCTGGATCTTGATGTATTTGTGGACCGTTTTGCCAGACAGCACAACCGCCGTATCCTGTTGCTGTAGTGTATCTATATGATATATACGCTAGTAGCGTATGAGTGCCGCTGTGAGGAAAAATAGATATAATGAACAATAAAACAACAAGCTTGAGCTTCTTAAGACACGGTGGGTTTATCTGTTCTCAATACCACCGGTAAAATGAATGGAGTTAGTCTGGTGTCCACATGAAGTTACGTGTGTAGACAAAGAGTCTGGTGTCCATATGAAGTTACATGTGTAGACAGAGACAGTCTGGTGTCCATATGAAGTTACATGTGTAGACAGAGACAGTCTGGTGCCCATATGAAGTTAAATGTGTAAACAAAGACAGTCTGGTGTCCATATGAAGTTACATGTGTAGACAGAGACAGTCTGGTGCCCATATGAAGTTAAATGTGTAAACAAAGACAGTCTGGTGTCCATATGAAGTTACATGTGTAGACAGAGACAGTCTGGTGCCCATATGAAGTTACATGTGTAGACAAAGAGTCTGGTGTCCATATGAAGTTACATGTGTAAACAGAGACGGTCTGGGGTCCATATGAAGTTAGATGTGTAGACAAAGACAGTCTGGTGTCCACATGAAGTTACATGTGTTTACTTAGATGAACCCACCGTGTCTTAAGAAGCTGAAGCTTGTTTTATTTTTCATTTTACATCATCTATCTTTTTTTCCTCACAGTACCAGTAGTTCCACACACTACTAGAGTGTATGTATGTTTGTATGTATGTATATATATCCCACCAATCCTCTCTCAAGAGGTTTTCAAAAAGGGGCAAACTCATGTCTCAAGACCTGCTTCTGTTGGTTCCCCTCTCCTGCCTGTAACTTTCCATCCACATCCCCAAAGTGTTGTGGCCCATTATGACATCACTCCATTAAGTGATTGCTGCATGTACTGCTCTAAGGAAACACTTCTCTCTCTCTCTCTCTCTCTCTCTCTCTCTCTCTCTCTCTCTCTCTCTCTCTCTCTCTCTCTCTCTCTCTCTCTCTCTCTCTCTCTCTCTCTCTCTCTCTCTCTCGATAGATAGATAGATAGAGTTTATGATTTTATTCTTTTGAATTATCTCTGCCAAACATCTATGTACTACAAATCTTCAAGCTCCACAGATGTTTTATGGCATCCACTAAACCTCTTTAGATATTTGTAAATTATACAGTGTGATACCTTTCAACAAAAGTTTATTTTATTTTTTACCAACTATGATTTTTCCTTTTGAAAACAAGCAAAGCAAGAAAAAAAAGAAACAAAATCACTCCAATCATTGCACACTTGTGTCGTTCAGACTTTGCAGGTCCAGCTTTGACATGATGATCTAACTAACACTAATATTGTAACTAATATTGTAACTGAAATATGTATGATCCTATGATGAGCGATTGCTTACTTCCCTTTCACTCTTAAAAAATTACTGAAAAAAAATGTGTATAAAAAGGTATATGTAGTATATGTTTGTTTAGTGAGCATTCATGCTGTCATTTTTTCCTAATGTGAACTATGGTGGAAATGTGCTGTCCTAAATGGACTTGCCCATATATGTTGTAAAGCCTTTTTTTGTACACCTGCTCATCAACTGACAGTGAAGTACACAAAGACACAGACACACACACACACACACACACACACACACAGACACCTGTAATATTCTTGTTTTCATGTTGTTGCTGATATCCATCAGTGTTGTTCATATTGCTACATTGTGTTGACATGATTGTTGCTTTTAAACGAATGTTAACTTAATGTTTATTGTCTGCATCCTATTGGACTACTGGATGTTAATGTGTAACACGTTTCCCTGTTTATGTGCTTTAGCAATACTGTATGTCAATATGGTCATGCTAGTAAAGCCTCTTTGAATTGAATTTCTTTTCTGATTTGGTTTATTTTACCTAAATGGATACAGGGTAGTGTGTTTTGTTTATAAATCACTCAGAAAGTTTTCTTTCTTAAAACAAAATGTGGAATCAACTGTCCACAGTAGTGGGGCTTCCATAAATAGGAAATGGCACATTGTTGTACCCTTTGTTGTATCCTGGAGTTTTGTTCACATTGAATATGAACCCTGTATTTGTACCCTGTACTTTTTAATTTTTATTTATTTATTTATTTTTTCATTTTTATGGCACTATCTCTCTTGCATCTGTACTCTTGTACAAAATACGTGTTATAATAAATGTCATATGATTTTAAAGTAAAATAAAGTTTATAATCTTTGAATATCATGTGTTGCCAGTTTTTTTATGTGTGCCCCCCTGATTAAACACTGGCCCCTCCTTGGCCCCCCTAGTAAAATGTGTCTAGAACCGCCACTGGCTACAACCTTTTCTCCAATAATTAAGACTGAAAGATTGCTTCATAGAGAGATATTCAACTCTGCGTGTGTTGTGTCAGAGTGTTTTTGATACCGTATCTATCAGCTATGTTGCTGCTTTCATCATTTCCCCTCCTCTCAATCCTTGTTGGTGAGTGTTGTATTCAATTTCATCATTTTAATTCCAACTCCACATGTTTTTCCTTTTCTGACAGGTGTCAGTTTTGAAGATGACATTAATCCTACTAGGTCTATTGTAGGTGGTGTGGAGGGTGATACCATCACACTATCCTGCAGCTACACTGGCTCTGTAGACAATCTACAGTTGTATCATCAGTATCCTAGGTCTAAACCAGAGTTCCTGATTCTCATCACTAAATCAGGATATGTCCAGAAACCTGTCCCTCCTCGCATGTCAGCTCAGGTTCATACCGACTGTGTGGATCTGGAGATCTCCTCTGCTGAGGTAACAGACTTTGCTCTGTACTACTGTGCTCTGAGGCCCACAGTGACAGGAAAGCCAGAACCACTTCACAAAAACACAGTTCATTTTAATGCCATTCACAACACAATGATAAAAGCCTATAAACCAGCTATTTCCTGTCTGGGTAAGGTACATTCCCTTTCTCTCTGCAGAAAACTCTTGTCGTATCGGGTGAATGGTGGCTATTATTGCTGTCAACAAAGAGTCCGTTCAAGCTGCATCGTGTTAGAGGCTTTTATTAAAATCACAGGTTACAGCATAAGTACAGACCCGCGGTGTCCGGAGAACGGCTCCTCAGATTGCCATGGCCGTTCTGCCCTTTCTGTAGTCTAGCCCCTATTTATAGACAATGATGCTCCCTCTTCTGGCCAATCACCAGTCTCCCCTGTCTACAACACACTTCCTGTCTGTTGTATGTGACATTACACTAAAACATATACTAACATAAACAACATTCCATTTCTTCATGAAAAACATTTAACAAAGACATAATCTTCATATACGATACTCTCAGCAGCAAGCACTGCAGCAACATAATCCAGTAACCAAGGCAGAGATCTGATCTGGTATTTCTATGTTCCACATGGAGAACTCTCTGATACTTGTTCTCATTCTAGCCTCAGGTAAACAATGTTTAATATCATGTTTCATATCATGCTGTGATCTATAATTATACGTTTCTTGTCCCTTTTTCTTTGTTAATTTATAATTACTGTTACTAAATTTCCACCCCAATTTCTACAGCATGTAGCTCTCACACTTCATTACAATTTGACTGTTCCTACTTTACAGGACATATTGCTGGAGATCACATTCCTACTGTAAAGAATGAAGTCATCAGTACAGAGGGAGAACTTGTGACTCTGAGCTGCTCATTTAATACAAGCAGTGAATATCCTCGGCTTTACTGGTACCGGCATTATCCTAACCAGGCTCCTCAGTTTCTACTGTATAAAGGTGCCAGATCAAGTACCTCGAAACATATCCCTGGTAAGAGATATACATCCAAAACGTCTCAGACATCAACGGAACTGGTCATAAGAAGCCTAACCCTGGCAGACACAGTTCTCTACTACTGTGCTCTCAGGGATTATACCCAGTGATACAAAGTGTATCAGACCCTGTACAAAAACCTGCAGACCAAAATACTATGTTGAAGTGGAAATCATAATTAAACATCAACCACATTTGATGTCATAATGGCAGAAGTTGAAATCAGAGAACTGTGGTCACACCTTTGCTGTGTGCAATCACCAGATGGTCTAGTGTTTCTCTGTCTTCATATTCAATGCACTGTGAAAAAGATGTATTCTTCAATCTTTTTTATATCAGTTGGAAAAACACTTGGGAATATGACAAAGTGCAACAATATTATTGTTTGTAGTTACTCCTCCTCACAAGTCACACTGCTTGGTGGTGTAGTATGAAAGTCAACCTGAAGAGGGCAACCTAACAAAGAACACACACCCCTGAATCAGAGGATGCCATACAGACAGACACCTCCCCATGGTCTACTACTGCATGTAATACAGAACAACATGAAGCATCAACAGTAGGACAGAGGGTGTCAAAGCTCTGTGATAGATAGATCAGCATTGTTCTGCTCCTTACCTTTTACACTTCAAACTGACTGACTAGTCATGATAAATTGGCTGATCCTGCATGTTCTGGCTGCATGCTGCTTTGGTATAACATCACTCTGTTAATCTGTCTCTTTCTGTGGATTTGATCATTTTATTTATATACATTATTATTATATGTTGTGAAGATATATTTGTCTTTCTTTTCACGGTGCAGAGCAGAAGAGAGTGTCACACATCCAAAATAATATATAATGGCTGTGGAAGGACAACCAAAAACACTCACTTGTCTATTCGATACAACTGCTAAATTACCATATCTATTCTATTACAAACACCTAGCAAATGTCAACACCATGTTTATGCTGAGAAGGGATATGTTTTCACCTGGGGAAACTGCCACTGGGTTCAAGGAGAGATTTCATGCCCGTCTGAAAGTCACAGCAAAATTAGTCCCCTTGACAATCCAGAGGGTGCAGCTGTCTGACTCTGTTGTGTACTACTGTGCTTTGAGGCCCACCGTGACAACAGGATATACAGCCCCCCTACAAAAACTAGTGTATCCTTGGCACTAGTGTAGAAAAAAATACAAGCCTTACTTCTGTGGTGGGTGTGACGTTAGCAGGGCTGTACACCTCACACAGTGACACACAGAATAACATTTCAGAGGAGAGTGAATGCATGCAAACATCAGTCTGAAGATGGAGAAATCAATCAGTGTATTGATCATTCTGATTATGGCTACAGGTAAACAATACCTAAACATTTGAACTCCTTCCATCCTTATAATCAGATTATTATTATGGTACTGGTAGGAAAACAATGATGAAGTAAAGTCATTTAAATGTGAATAGTAAGCATGTGTTTTCAATCAGCTTTATTATCTATTTTTCCTCTGCAGGAATGGTATCTGGAGATAGTTTGACTCCTGACAAGGAGGAGTACACCCCCACTGAGGGATCATCAGTGACTCTGAGCTGTACATATGAAACAAGCAGCGATTATATTTACCTTTACTGGTACCGGCATTATTCTAACCAGGCTCCTCAGTTTTTACTGTGGAAAGGTGCCAGATCATTGAGCTCCTCTGAACATATCCCTGATAAGAGATATACATCCAAAACGTCTCAGAAATCAACTGAACTGGTTATAACAAGCCTAACCCTGGCAGACACAGCTCTCTACTACTGTGCTCTTGACACAGTGATACAAAGTCTATAAGACGTTGTACAAAAACCTGCAGACCAGAAATGCTTTGATGAAGTGGAAATCATAATTAAACATCAACCACATTCAATGTTATAATTGCAGAGGTTGAGATCAGAGAATTGTGGTCACACCTTTGCTGTGTGCAATCACCAGGTGGTCTAGTGTTTCTCTGTCTTCATATTCAATGAACTGTAAGAAAGATGTATTTGTTAATTTCTAGTCTTCAATTTCAGTTAGACAGGTATTTTAATATTGGTTGGAGAATCACTTGGGAATATGACAAAGTACAACAATGTTATTGTTTGTGGTTACTCCTCCTCACAATTTACACAGCTTTGGCTGTAGTGGAACAGGTTGAGAGCTTCAAGTTCCTTGGTGTCCACATCACCAACAAACTATCATGGTCCAAACACACCAAGACAGACGTGAAGAGGGCACGACAAAGCCTATTTCCCCTATTCCCCCTAAGGAGACTGAAAAGATTTGGCATGGGTCCTCAGATCCTCAAAAAGTTATACAGCTGCACAATCGAGAGCATCCTGATTGGTTGCATCACTTCCTGGTATGGCAACTGTTCGGCCTCCGACCGCAAGGCACTACAGAGGGTAGTGCGTACGGCCCAGTACATCACTGGGGCCAAGCTTCCTGCCATCCAGGACCTCTATACCAGGCGGCGTCAGAGGAAGGCCCTAAAAATTGTCAAAGACTCCAGCCACCCTAGTCATAGACTGTTCTCTCTGCTACCACAGGGCAAGCGGTACCGGAGCGCAAAGTCTAGGTCCAAAAGGCTTCTTAACAGCTTCTACCCCCATGCCATAAGACTCCTGAACAGCTAATCATGGCTACCTAAACTTTTGCATTGTCCCCCTCACCCCACCCCGCCCCACCCCATCTTTTACACTGCTGCTGCTCTGTTTATTATCTATGCATAGTCACTTTAACTCTACCCACATGTACATATTACCTCAATTACCTCGACTAACCAGTGCCCCCGCACATTGACTCTGTACCGGTACCCCCTGTATATAGGCACCCTACTGTTATTTTATTTTACTGCTGCTCTTTAATTATTATTAAAGACACCTCCTTTGGCCGCCATTCCTTCCAGTTCTCTGCTGCCAATGACTGGAACGAATTGCAAAAATCTCTGAAGCTGGAGACTCTTATCTCCCTCAATAACTTTAAGCATCAGTTGTCAGAGCACCTTACCGATCACTGCACCTGTACACAGCCCATCTGAAATTAGCCCACCCAACTACCTCATCCCTATATTGTTATTTATTTTGCTCTTTTGCACCCCAGTATCTCTATTTGCACATAATCTCTTGCACATCTAGCATTCCAGTGTTAATACTATTGTAATTATTCTGCACTATAGCCTATTTATTGCCTTACCTCCATAACTTGCTACATTTGCACACACTGTATATATATTTTCTGTTGTATTTCTGACTTTATGTTTTTTTTTACCCCATATGTAACTCTGTGTTGTTTTTATTGCACTACTTTGCTTTATCTTGGCCAGGTCACAGTTGTAAATGAGAACCTGTTCTCAACTGGCTTACCTGGTTAAATAAAGGTGAAAAAAAAATAAAAAAAAATAAAAAAAAATAAATATTATTATTATTATAATTATTACCTATTTTTTACTCAACACTTTTTTTCTTAAAACTGCAATGTTGGTTAAGGGCTTGTAAGTAAGCATTTCACTGTAAGGTCCACACCTGTTGTATTCGGCGCATATGGCGAATACAATTTGATTTGATTTGATTTTGGTGGTGTAGTATGAAAGTCAGCCTGAAGGGGACAACCTAACAAAGCACACACACCCCTGAATCAGAGGATGTCATACAGACAGACACCTCCCATGGTCTACTACTGAATATAATACAGAACAACATGAAGAATCAACAGTAGGACAGAGGGGGTCAAAGCTCTGCGATAGATAGATCAGCATTGTTCTGCTCCTTACCTTTTACACTTCAAACTGACTGACTAGTCATGAGAAACTGGCTGATCCTGCATGTTCTGGCTGCATGCTGCTTTGGTATAACATCACTTTCTTCATCTGTCTCTTTCTGTGGATTTATTCATTTTATTTATATACATTATTATTATATGTTGTGAAGATATATTTATCTTTCTTTTCAGGTTGCAGAGCAGAAGACAATGTAACACAGCCAACAGAAGACGTAATGGCCGTAGAAGGACAACCAACAACAGTCACTTGTCTATTTGATACAACTGATCAATCACCATATCTCTTCTGGTACAAACAACAAACAAATAGCAACCCCATGTTTATGCTGAGAAGGGATACATTTTCACCTGGAGACAGTGCTACTGAGTTCAAGGAAAGATTTGATGCCCGTCTGAATGTCACAGCAAAGTCAGTTCCCTTGACGATCCAGAGGTTGCAGCTGTCTGACTCTGCTGTGTACTACTGTGCTCTGAGGCCCACTTTGACAACAGGAAATACAGCCCCCTTACAAAAACTATTCGGTTCAGATGTGCCCATAGAAACATTCAGTACTACTGAAAATGTGGGACCCAAAACAAAAAGTGTATTTCAATATACTTTATGTACATTAGTAGACCTGAATTAGATACTCTGTAGGCTACATGAGTGAATGTACCTGAATTATAATAGAATAACTGTACCTTTTCAAAACAAAAACAAAAAATGTTTGTCATACTCACATCATGGAACATTTGTGTAATTGACAATTGCTTTAAGCTACTTTCCATTTCATGTGAGCTAGACGTAAGCTTTTCACTTTGTCTAATATACTGCAGAGAGTGGGAATGTCTAATATTGCCAGACACAATATTGACCCATACATTTTTATACAATCTTTCCTCTCTCTGAACAGGCTCCTCCTTCATGTCTGTCAGTTGATGGTGATATACAGGCTGAGATGGACATGGAAGAGAGAGAGAGAGGATCTCTACCTCTTACTGTAACTCACAGTCACTCTCTGTGTGCTCTGCATAACCATGGTACTCTGTCTGATCATCTGGCTGGTTCTTGCTGTATTGTGCTTCGGTATGAAGGAACCTTTTCTCTCATTGATTTATCTCATCTTTAACTAATTTTAACTATAGTGTTATCATTTCTATAATCTTAAAATTATCACTCAGTCTTAATTTTTTTCCCCAGCGTGCAGAGGAGACAATGTGCAACAGCAACCAGGAGGTGTGATTGCTACAGAAGGAGGACTGGTAACACTGAGTTGTAAATATAGCACAACCAGTGCTAATAATGTATATCTATATTGGTACAAACAAAAAGCAAATTACTTCCCTAACATATGCTGACCCATTATTATTTTGGATCTTGAGACACTGCTGCAGGGTTCAAGGAGAGGTTTGATGCAAGTCTAAATGGCAAGAAACAATCAGTCCCCTTGATGATCTGGAGGGTGCAGCTGTCTGACTCTGCTCTGTGCTACTGTGCCCTGCAGCCCACAGTGACAGGAAACCTGTGCACACTGTACAAAAACCTGGAAAGAAAACTGACATCCCCTAGACATCCCCTCATTTTCTGTTTCAACATTACCTTTCATAGACAAAACACACATACACAGAAAATGAGCAATGAAAGATTTTCAATGAACACTAAAAATTAATATAATATGGAAAAGTGACAGAAATGTATTAAGGCTATCTGATTGTTGTCACGATCGTCGTAGGGAACAGACCAAGGCGCAGCGTGATGAACGAACATACTTTAATTAGTTAAAGTGTAAACACAATACAAAACAAGAAACGACTCGTGAAGTCCACGGTATCAATGACCGAACACGGAACAAGAACCCACAAACACAAAGGGAAAATAGACAGTATAAATATGGCTCCCAATCAGAGACAACCAACGACAGCTGACACTCGTTGCCTCTGATTGGGAGTCACTCTAGCCAACATAGAAATAAACCCAACAGAATTACCAACATAGAAAGAACACACCCTGGCTCAACATATAGAGTCCCAGAGCCAGGGTGTGACAATTGTGTTGCTTATATATACTTTAGATTCTAGATTTAAATTAGAAAAGAAAAGAAATGTAATGAATGAATGCCTCATGTTGAATAAATGAATATCTTGCAGATCTTGCATCAAGCAACTCTGTTGCCCTAAAATCAAGAAAATAAATGGGTATAAATAACACAGTTTTATCCAATATCCAATAGAGGGAGACTAAGGTAATCATATTTCAGTGCAGCCCTGCATTTTGAGGATGTAACAGTGGCATCAAGCAGCAGCAAGAAGTCTGCTGTTACTTCTGCTGATCTGACAACTCTCTGTATTTTAAGGGTGGGGCTTCAAAGGTTTGAGAACAGATGGTCCATTCAAAACTAGAAGGAGGAGGATGTTTTTTTAGTATACACAAATCTTGTTGTTCTGTGTGTTATCATTTTAACTTCCAGTTTCAGCCACAATGTCAACCCCCACATTTATTTTGCTTTTAGTACTTGCATGTAAGTAATCTACTATAATCTGTAAAAAAAATATATGTTTTATGTTGAATCGAAACAAAGATTTTATGCGTTGAAAATAGATCTATAACAGAGTAATAATTGAAGAATAACATATTTTGCATCTCTTGCAGGTGACAGTAATGGTCAGACCATTGAGCCAATCAGAGAGGAGGTGTATGCTCCAGCAGGTAGCAATATTACACTTTCATGCACCTACTCATCTGCAGTCTCTCTTCAATGGTATCTCCAGGACCCTGGATCAGCTCCTCAGTATATCCTGCTTATCCTGCATGATGTTGGGTCTCCATCACGGGCTCCAGGTCTGGATCCTAGACTGTCAGTCAAACTAAATGATGAGAAGACCCGTGTGGATCTGGAGATCTCCTCTGCTAAAGAGAAAGACTCTGCTATGTACTACTGTGGACTGACGCCCACAGTGAAAGGAAACCTACATACGCTGTACAAAAACCTAACCTGACACATTCTATAGTTACATGACATGACCTACAGGAGACGTTACATCTCAAGGTTTTTCTTTTTAACAGGAAACCTGGTGGGTGTGTTTAAAACCCTATGTAAAGAGGAGGAGCAACATTGTATATGGCTACTTATCATTTCAAAATCATAGCAGTGTTTTGTCTTTGCTGTTTTCTAAATAACACATTCATTTCTGATCTCTAACATAGACCATGATGCTACTCTGTTACATTCTACTAATTTCAGCCCTTGTAGGTGATACTTTAGACATTGACCTATACAACTCTGTATAATGTTACTGTCGTTTAGGATTATAGTGTGTCAGTGACAAACCACAGGGTGGCAATATAGTTAGAAGCTCAGGTAGCTTTTAATGTCAAACATCAGCAGCTTGACAGGCTATACAGTAGAAGGGTAAGAATAATGTGCAGACTTAATTCGTTTGAAAAACGATTTATCTTGCCCTAAAACCCACAGGCCTTGACTACATCAGAAATCACCTCGACACCGACTTGGATGATGTCACCAGGGCAAACAGTGGCCTCTCTGATGAAGACGACTTCTTTGCATCCATGGAGTTGGGAAAATCACAGGTAGGAGAGCTGGAGAGGTACCTTTCATGTATGTCCCCTGCAGGTATGGATCTACTCCACACCTTTCCTCTTATCAAGAAGCTGTCACTCAAAGTCAACACAGGTCTTCCTGCATCTGCAGCCTGTGAGAGACTTTTCAGTCATGCAGGACTCCTGTTCACTGCTAAACGATCACAGCTTCACAGCAAGAACCTTGAGAGCCAGCTACTGTTGAAGCTTAATAGTGACATCACTGAGTGATTCTTTGGTGAAATAGTTTTGGGGGGGGGGGGGGGGGGTGACAAGTGTGACTTTTTTTGCTGACTTTTCTTGTTAGATATTGGAACTGAAAGTAAACGTAATGCCCCATCTACAACTACATCACTCTCCTCTGATGCCTTTTAGAGAACATGCATTCAGCTTAATTTGTGTTCTGGGATACTAAGCCTGCAATATTGTTTTATTCGGCCATCTATCATGGACTGGTGCTTTTTCAGTTGATGTGTACTGCTGCTCTTTTCCTCTCCTCAGTGAGATGTGCAGTGTGGCCTAATCACAGATCAGAGTATTAATTTCTAGGCACACAGAAAAAGGGCTGTTGCTTGCCATGCAATACAAAGGTACTGAGTAGGCCTAATCAACACCTATTGATTATTTTACGTGACCGCTTCCTTCTGGTGTGCAGTTTTCTGTTCAGCATGCCTGGTATGAAATGTTTGTGTGTTTCCTTCTGTTGTTCTGTCACTGTGGAGACACTGTGGAGACACACACACACACAGTTTATGAGAGTTTATGGGCTGCCTCGTTCTAGTTCTGCCTGGTAAAAAAAAGTATAAAGGTTTGGAAATTTGTGTTACTTGTGCTTATTTATTTTTTATTTTTTATTATTTTATTTTGTTTATTTTTTAGGTACTTGAATTTACCTGAATTATTTTAATTTAAGCTATTTTGTAATTAATTTTAATTAATTTTAATGATTGGATGAACAATAATTTGCCTAAAGATGATTATTTTGTATTTTTGTTTGTCTGATTGTTGTCTTGTGTTAAAAAATAAATCAGACGTTACTCAACAGTTACTCAGTACTTGAGTAGTTTTTTCATCAAGTACTTTTTTACTCTTACTCAAGTAATTATTTGGATGACTACTTTTTACTTTTACTTGAGTCATATTATTCTGAAGTAACAGTACTTTTACTTGAGTACAATTTTTGGCTACTCTACCCACCTCTGATCATGGCTACCTGGACTATTTGCATTGTCTCCCTCACCCCACCCCACCTCCTCTTTTACGCTGCTGCTACTACTCTGTTAATTATTTATGCATAGTCACTTTAACTCTACCCACATGTACATATTACCTCAATTACCTCAACTAACCGGTGCCCCCGCACATTGACTCTGTACCGGTCCTGCCTGTATATAGCCTCCCTACTGTAATTTGTTTTACGGCTCTTCTTTAATTATTTGTTATTTTGATTTTTTTTACTTATCTATTTTTTACTTAACACTTTTTTTCTTAAAACTGCATTGTTGGTTAAGGGCTTGTAAGTGAGCATTTCACTGTAAGGTCTACACCTGCTGTATCCGGCGCATGTGGCAAATACAATTTAATTTGATTTTATTTGATATGTGACGTGATTACATAGGGACTTCTTCACTAGCTGACTACCACTACCAAGACCTGTGTCAAGATCAGTTACTTACCCCACCGGCTCTCCCCATAACCTCTATGTACAAATAAGAGAGCAGCTCTGGAATCAATGTAGGATGATTACACAGAAGGATCACAACACTTTTACATGATGGTCTTTCTAGCTGGCGAGAGAGGTGCCAGATCCGGGAAAATAAGTCACAGAACAAATAAAGTCAAATCTGAGAGGTGCCGGATCCTGTTCTGGCAGGATCCGGCTCAAATTAAGCACTGAGTATCATTGAAGAGAGGACACATGAGAAAAGAGGAGAGGAGAGGAGAGGAGAGGAGAGGAGAGGAGAGGAGAGGAGAGGAGAGGAGGAGGAGAGGAGAGGAGAGGAGAGGAGTGGAGAGGAGAGGAGAGGAGAGGAGAGGAGAGGAGAGGAGAGGAGAGGAGAGGAGAGGAGAGGAGAGGAGAGGAGAGGAGAGGAGAGGAGAGGAGAGGAGAGGAGAGGAGAGGAGAGGAGAGGAGAGGAGAGGAGAGGAGAGATTGAGCATCTTTAGAGCAACTGTACTTTGGGGTGGAGCTTGTAGGTAAACTAAGCAGAAATTATCAACTGAAAACCTTGCAGATAAAGTTGTAGAGTATTCAGATACTGTTGTGATATTAGTCAGTTTGACTTCCAATCATAGCCATGTTGTTCATCTGTTCAATTATTATGTTCTCAGCAATAGGTAAGTTATGTATCACTTTTATGACTCAATGTTCAACTCTTCACATTTGCAGGTGACACCTATGAGCAGAGTATCGAGCCAAACCAACATGAAGTGTATGGAGAAGAGGGTAGTTATGTTCAGCTTTCCTGCAACTACTCCTCAGCGTACAGTCTACTATGGTATAAACAGCCTCCAGGATCAGCTCCCCAATACATTCTGCTCATCCTGCACTCCACTGGGACTGTACAGAGAGCTGATTCTCTTGACTCTCACTTCTCTGGTAAACTGAACAAAAAGAAGACCTGTGTGGATCTGGAGATCTCCTCTGCTGAAGTGACAGACTCTGCTCTGTACTACTGTGCCCTGACACCCACAGTGACAGGAAACCCAGAAGCACTGTACAAAAAGTTAACATTCACTGAGAGAGTATTTCAACTCTGTAGTTCCAGGTTTCATTTGAGCATAGTGACATCAAGTGGAGTCAACATGCACCCATTATATTGTGTCAAGAGGAGGATCATAGTGGTACACTTAACATGTAATGAGTGGAACTGATTCACCCAGTGAGTGAATGTTCCAAGAGAAGATCATTTTACATAGAGTCTCTGTCTAACACCCAGTGTCTATGATGCTGCTCTATTTAGTCTTGTTTTTGTGTGCACTTGTAGGTAAGAATTCACTCTCCATTAACTGAATGTGTACTAACAGAATGTATACTGTTCAGTGTTCATTACAATATGGTATTATCAATATCAAGTGGTAATACACTTTGAAACACCAAGTGTGGATATACTGTACGCTGTCTACATTGACTCAGTAATCCATGTTGTTCTTTTTTACAGGTACAAGTGTTGAAGACATAATTACTCCAGACAGAGATGTAGTGGATGTTATGAAGGGTAGTAGTGTTAAACTCTCCTGTAGATACAACAGCTCATTAACCACCAGTCTGTTATGGTATCGCCAGCACCCTGGATCCTCTCCACAGTTCTTCATACTGGACTATGTGGATCTGGAAATCTTCTCTGCTGAAGTGACAGACTCTGTACTACTGTGCTCTGATGCCCAAAGTGAAGGGAAACCACAGAAACACTGTAAAAAAACTGATCCTGACAATACAAACACAGAGAACCTGAATCTGAGACCCCTAGAAACCATAGAACCTGAGTCTGAATAGCTCTTATCTTCCATCCATTATATTCCCTTATTTTAATATGAAAGTTATTTGCATGTTTGACTATCATTGACCAGATTTTATATTTGGAAATAAAGTAAATATGTCATGAATATCAGAAATGTCTCTGAATTGATGACATATTTTCTGTCATTTAGTAAACCAAACCTTCATCACCACCACCACACTTCATTAAGAGACATCATTGAATAGGTTTTATGTCATAAACTGGGCGGTAGGTTGCCAGTTCTAATCCCTGGATCTGGTGACTTGAGGGCTGCTGGGTTCAGATCCAGACTACAATTCCCTACCGTTGGGCCCTTGGCAAGGCCCTTAACCCCACAACATGCTCTCCATCTGTCACACTCGTTGATTGAAGGATCGGACCAAGGTGCAGCGTGGTAGGCGAACATATTAATTTATTCAATGAAAACAGACAAAACAACAAACATGCACATGAACGTAAAGTTCTGCAGGCTACAAAGCACCTATACAAAAACAAGATCCCACAAACTAAGGTGGGAAAAAGGATGCCTAAGTAAGATCCCCAATCAGAGACAACGATAGACAGCTGCCTCTGCTTGGGAACCATACCCGGCCAACAAAGAAATAGAAAAACTAGAATGCCCACCCAAATCACACCCTGACCTAACCAAATAGAGAATGAAAGGGATCTCTAAGGTCAGGGCGTGACACCATCCAGGGGTGCTGCGCTGGCAGTGGTGGAAAAAGTATTCATACTTGAGTAAAAGTACAGATACCTTGATAGAAAATGACTCAAAAGTGTAAGTCACCCAGTAGACTAGCACTTGAGTAAAAGTCTAAAAGGATTTGGTTTTAAATATACTTAAGCAACAAAAGTAAATGGAATTGCTCAAATGTACTTAAGTATTAAAAGTAAAAGTATAAACCATTTCACATTCCTTATATTAAGCAAGCCAGACGGCACCATTGTTTTTTTGTTTTTTTATTGATGGATAGCCAGGGGCACACTACAAAACTCAGACATAATTTAGAAACAAAACATTTGTGTTTAGTGAGTCTGTCAGATCAGAGGCCGTAGGGTTGACCAGCTATATTCTTTTGATAAGTGTGTGAATTGGACCATTTTCCTGTCAAAATGTAACAAGTACTTTTGGGTGTCAGGGAAAATGTATGGAGTAAAAAGTACATATCTTCTTTAGGAATGTAGTGAAGTAAAAGTAAAAGTTGTCAAAAATATAAATAGTAAAGTAAAGTACAGATACCCTAAAAAACAACTTAAGTAGTATTTTAAAGTAATTTTACTTAAGTACTTTACACCACTGTGCACTGCTACGACCCTGTGCTCCTCTCAATTGTGTGTGTGAGATGTGATATCTGGGGGAGTTGAGTAATGAGAGCAGAAGACAAATTTCCGTTGTTTGCTGTAACATGGACAATAAAGTTGTATAGGGAGGAGCCACGAAGAACCTGTTCAAACTGTACATATGATTACAGGAGACCTATTTTTGTGAATTAGTTGGTCCATTATATAGTAGATGAATGATGATGTTCCTTGGTTTGATCTGGATGTTCTCTACATTTTGAACAGGTGAGCATTACAATTGTTTTTAAGTGAGCCTGCATATTTGATGGAAATTAAGATGGACACCCAATTGATTTTGTTTCTATATTTACTTTACAGAATTAATTGCTGGGGAGCATATTACTGCTGTAAAGAATGAAGTCATCATTACAGAGGGAAAACCTGAGACTCTGAGCTGCTCATATGATGCAAGCAGGAAGTATCCTCTGCTTTACTGGTCCTGGCATTATTCTAACCAGGCTCCTCGTTTTCTTCTGTATAAAGGTGCCAGATCAAGTACCAGAGAACATATCCCTGATAAGAGATATACATCCAAAACGTCTCAGACATCAACTGAACTGGTTATAACGCACCTAACCCTGGCAGACACAGCTCTCTACTACTGTGCTCTCAGAGATTGTTATGACCAGTATTGTTATACACAGTGATACAGTGTGCATAAGACACTGTACAAAAACATGCAGACCAAAAATGTATCGATGAAGCGGGGATCAAATTTTAACATCAAACCACAATTTCATATTGTGGTCACACCTGTGCTATGTGCAATCACCAGGTGGTCTAGTGTTTCTCTGTCTTCATATTCAATGCACTGTGAGAAAGATGTATTCTTCACTGTTCAATCAGTAGTCTTCAATTCAACTTAGACAGGTTTTTTTAATAGTGCTTGGAAAAGCACTTGGGAATATGACAGTGTAACAATGTTATTTATTATAGTTGGCCCTCCTTACAATTCACACTGCTTGCTGATGTAGTATGAAAATCCACCAGAAGGTGGCAACCTAACAAAGCACACACACCTGAATCAGAGGATGCCATACAGACAGACACCTCCCCATAGTCTACTACTGAATGTAATACAGAACAACATGAAGCATCAATAGTAGGACAGAGGATGTCAAAGCTCTGTGATAGATAGATCAGCATTGTTCTGCTCCTTACCTTTTACACTTCAAACTGACTGACTAGTCATGAGAAACTGGCTGATCCTGTATGTTCTGGCTGCATGCTGCTTTGGTATAACATCACTCTGTTCATCTTTCTCTTTCTGTGCATTTGTTCATTTTATTTATATACATTATTATGATATGTTGTGAAGATATATTTATCTTTCTTTTCAGGGTGCAGAGCAGAAGAGAATGTAACACAGCCAACAGAAGATGTAATGGCCGTAGAAGGACAACAGACAACACTTACTTGTCTATATGATACAACTGATCGATCGCCATATCTCTTTTGGTACAAACAACAAGCAAATGGCAAGCCCATGTTTATGCTGAGAAAGGATACAGTTGGAGTCGGGGAAACTGCTGCTGAATTCAAGGAGAGATTTCATGCCCGTCTGAATGTCACGGCAAAATCAGTCCCCTTGATGATCCAGAGGGTGCAGATGTCTGACTCTGCTGTGTACTACTGTGCTCTGAAGCCCACTGTGACAACAGGAGATACAGCCCCCTTACAAAAACACTGTGTGTGCATGTGGGTACATGTGTATAGTACGTTTTGTTGTGTGCCGTTTTTTAAGTCAAGGGGAGGTGTTACCTAATTGAGGCAAAGGAAAGTAAATGCCTTTTATAGCTGACAGTGAGAAACCAGGGGAGTCATTCTTTAATTCTGTCACTTGTGTTCACTCTTTTCACTGTGTCAAATAACACTTACCAGCATTGTATTAGGATACATTTTAATATTTGCACTTGTGGGTGAGTTTGATGCTATTCTTCATATCCAATCACATACCCAATATAGTTACTGGAGACTGGAGGATATTTTGTCAATTCTTAATACACTTGACTGAATAATGAGTAGAATTGTATTATCATTTCCTGATAATAATTCCTGTTTTCATAAATGTTTTACAGGTGGCAGTCATGGGAATGACATTACTCCAACAACAGATAAGGTGTTTGGGTTAGAGGGTGATGTCATAAAGCTGTCCTGTAACTACTCCTCTGCTGAAGTGATAGACTCTGCTCTGTACTACTGTGCCCTGCAGCCCACAGTGAGTAAATCTTCACACACTGTACAACAATCTGAACAAAAAAACTGAGTATAAAAAACTATTAGGCTCATTCTGAATTTCATCATTACCTTGTATAGACAAAACACACATACACTGAAAATGAACAATGAAAGATTTTCAATTAACAATAATAAAATATAAAATACCATATTTCATAAAATACCATGAAGGTTATCTGATTGTGTTGCTGATTTATACTTTAGATTGTAGATTTAAATAGGAAAACAACAAACAGTGAATGAATGAACGCCTCATGTTGAATAAATTAATATCTTGAAGATCTTGCATCAAGCAACTCTGTTGCTGTCACGTATACACCAGGAGTCAGGAAGCAGGTACAGAAGGTGAGTTTAATAATTTTAGAATGCAGATAAACAAAAACATGACTTTGTGAACGGGTGCAGTGATGATGAGGAAGGGAAGGCTTTCTTGGTGCAAGGGTCCCACGGTGAGGGAGAGAGGTGCTGTGATAGTGCCGGATCCCAATGGTCGATTATCCAGGGCTTGGACCGGAAAAAGAGACGAGAGCGGATATGAGGTGATGTTCAGTGAGGTAACAAGGGTCTGGTCGATGAAATTCCCTGCGGCACCGGAGTCCACTAGAGCTGTAGAGACAACAACTGAGGGACAACCAGCCAGTGAAATGGAAACCAGGAAGGGTTTGGCGAAAAACTATGAAGAAGGAATACTCACGCCTACCCTGGGAGACAGATGATCACGGGGCTGTCCCTCTGCCCTACTGGAACTCAGATTGGGATGTAACAAACACCGCTGGAGCTGGTGTCTCTCCTGGCGCGCAACAGGAACACAGCCCCAGCTGTCTCCGGCGACGCCGCTCTGCCGCGGAGAGGTGTGTGACCCCTATCTCCATGGGTTTAGGCTCTGCCTCAGGACGGCCAAAGGAGGAGGGCGAGGGGTGAAGGAGGGGCTGGCGCTCTCGAAGGAGGTTGTCCAGATGGATGGCCATCACGATGAGCGCATCCAAGGAAAGGTTGTCGTCCCGGCACGCCAACTCCGTATGGTCCTCCTTGAGCAGTCATCTATGGAAAGGGTGCAGAGCACCGGTTCGTTCCATCCACTGGAGGCTGCCCCGGTCCGAAAGGTGAGGGCATATTCCTCAGCGGTCTGGGAATAGTCGCTCACCTCCCTCTCTGCCCTCCGGTGGATGGTCGAAGACTGCCCTGAACAGAGCCATGAACCTCCCGTAGGAACCCAACTCTTCCTCTCCTCTCTCCCAGACGGCTGTAGCCAACTCCAACGCCATCCCGGTCAGTAGGGTAATGACCGTGGCAACCTTGGACCTCTCGTTGGTGGAGGCCCCGGTATGATGGGCGAAATAGAGGGAGCATTGGAGTAGGAAGCCAAGGCATCATACTTGTCCGGGAGGGACAGTCGGGCATCCCCTCCCTGAGCGGACTGCTGGGTAGGCTGGGAGGCTGGCTCGTTGGGACGACTCGAGGTAAAAGGCCCTCCACTAGTTGTAGGTGAATCCTCTCTGATGGTGTCAAGGTGGTGGAGGACGCGGAGGACCTCATCCATAGCTGCACCCAGTAGCGCCAGCTGATCATGATGTAGACAGAGTAGGTGTCCCTGTTCACCGACCATCTTTATCTTCTGCTGCTTCCATAATTCGTGAGGCAATAATCTGTCATGTATACGCCGGGAGTCAGGAAGCAGGTTCAGAAGGTGAGTTTAATAATAAAGAATGCAGATAAACAAAAACATGAGAAGAGTACGGAACATGAATGAAAACAAACCAATACTGCCTGATGACTGAGGCTACTGAGGGCTAAATAAAGGGAAGGTAATCAAGGTGATGATGGTGTGCATAATGATGGGGAGCAGGTGTGCGTAATGATGGGGTGCAGGTGTGTGTAATGATGGTTGCCAGGACCGGTGGTTAGTAGGCCAGCAATGTCAAGCGCTGGAAAGGGGGAGTGGGGGTAGGTTTGACAGTTGCCCTAAAATCAAGAAAATAAATTGGTAATACATTACACAGTTTTATCCAATATCCAATAGAGGGAGACTAAGGCAATCAAATTTCAGTGCAGCCCTGCATTTTGAGGATGTGACAGTGGCATCAAGCAGCAGCAAGAAGTCTGCTGTTACTTCTGCTCATCTGACAACTCTCTGTATTTTGGAGTGGGGCTTCAAAGGTTTATTTTAAAGGGTAAGTTACTAGTGAGAGTCATTAGGTGTCAGTGGAGTCTCATAGTTTGCTTCTATTCCTTTAAATGATGCATGCAGCATGCCAACACTTTACAGGTGTTGGTGTTGTATAATTTCCCCCATCAATTAGCATATCAAACTAAATCAACCTGGGAAGGGCAGCATTTCACAAGGAATCCTTCTAGCAGTTCAACTAAATTGAATATACAATAAGCTCCTCCCCTACTGCAGAGCCCCACAATTATGAGACTTCTCAGCTACAGTGGATGGAACATAAAGACTATAACAGTCTATTCTTCCTCTATACATGAATCATAATGGCACCCTGGCTTAGGAATACTTTACTTATCCTGGCTGCATGCTATTTTGGTAAAGTATAGTGCTTTTCCTTCCTATTCTCTTTGTTTGAATCTTATCTAATATGTTATTATACAATTATTGATTAATTATTATAAAAAAATATTATAACGACTTTTTCAGATTGCAGAGGTGAAGAGGGTGTTGACCAGCAGAGTCGAAATGTTATTGCCCTTAAAGGAGGACTGGTAACACTCAGCTGTAACTACACTACCAGTAGTCCATCTCCTGATCTCTTCTGGTACAACTAGGGACTTTCCTCAGTATGTCCTGAGAAGAGATCGTTATTCAGAAGGGAGCAATAGTGATGAGTTCAAGAATAATCTAGGCTGATTTTCACATATAGCTCTGTCCCCTTGACGATCCAGAGGTTGCAGCTATCTGACTCTGCTGGGTACTACTGTGCTCTGAGGCCCACCGTGTGATGACAGGAGATTTAGTCACTTTCCAAATTTACATTTACATTTTACATTTACATTTACGTCATTTAGCAGACGCTCTTATCCAGAGCGACTTACAAATTGGTGCATTCACCTTATAGCCAGTGGGATAACCACTTTCCAATTTCTTCTTTTTTCTTTTCTTTATTTTTTGGGGTGGGTGGGGTGGGGTAGAAGGATTACTTTATCCTATCCCAGGTATTTCTTAAAGAGATGGGGTTTCAAATGTCTCCGGAAGGTGGTGAGTGACTCCGCTGTCCTGGCGTTGTGAGGGAGCTTGTTCCACCATTGGGGTGCCAGAGCAGCGAACAGTTTTGACTGGGCTGAGCGGGAACTGTGCTTCAGCAGAGGTAGGGGAGCTAGCAGGCCAGAGGTGGATGAACGCAATGCCCTCGTTTGGGTGTAGGGACTGATCAGAGCCGGAAGGTACGGAGGTGCCGTTCCCCTCACAGCTCCGTAGGCAAGCACCATGGTCTTGTAGCAGATGCGAGCTTCAACTGGAAGCCTTTGGAGTGTGCGGAGGAGCGGGGTGACGTGAGAGAACTTGGGAAGGTTGAACACCAGACGGGCTGCGGCATTCTGGATGAGTTGTAGGGGTTTAATGGCACAGGCAGGGAGCCCAGCCAACAGCGAGTTGCAGTAATCCAGACGGGAGATGACAAGTGCCTGGATTAGGACCTGTGCCACTTCCTGTGTAAGGCAGGGTCGTACTCTCTGAATGTTGTAGAGCATGAACCTACAGGATCGGGTCACCGCCTTGATGTTAGCGGAGAACAACAGGGTGTTGTCCAGGGTCACACCAAGGCTCTTCACACTCTGGGAGGAGGACACAACGGAGTTGTCAACCGTGATGGCGAATCATGGAACGGGCAGTCCTTCCCCGGGAGGAAGAGCAGCTCCGTCTTGCCAAGGTTCAGCTTGAGGTGGTGATCCGTTATCCTTACTGATATGTCTGCCAGACATGCAGAGATGCGATTCACCACCTGGTTATCAGAAGGGGGAAAGGAGACGATTAGTTGTGTGTCGTCTGCGTAGCAATGATAGGAGAGTCCATGTGAGGATGTGACAGAGCCAAGTGACTTGGTGTATAGCGAGAATAGGAGAGGGCCTAGAACTGAGCCCTGGGGGACACCAGTGGTGAGAGCACATGGTGCGGAGACAGCTTCTCGCCACGCCACTTGGTAGGAGCGACCGGTCAGGTAGGACGCAATCCAAGAGTGAGCCGCGCCAGAGATGCCCAGCTCGGAGAGGGTGGAGAGGAGGATCTGATGGTTCACAGTATAAAGGCAGCAGACAGGTCTAGAAGGACAAGAGCAGAGGAGAGAGAGTTAGCTTTAGCAGTGCAGAGAGCCTCCGTGACACAGAGAAGAGCAGTCTCAGTTGAATGACCAGTCTTGAAACCTGACTGGTTTGGATCAAGAAGGTCATTCTGAGAGAGATAGCAAGAGAGTTGGCTAAAGACGGCACGCTCAATAGTTTTGGAGAGAAAAGAAAGAAGGGATACTGGTCTGTAGTTGTTGACATCAGAGGGATCGAGTGTTGGTTTTTTGAGAAGGGGTGCAACTCTCGCTCTCTTGGAGACGGAAGGACATAGCCAGCGGTCAAGGATGAGTTGATCAGCGAGGTGAGGTAAGGGAGAAGGTCACCGGAGATGGTCTGGAGAAGAGAGGAGGGGATAGGGTCAAGCGGGCAGGTTGTTGTGCGGCCGGCCGTCACAAGTCGCAAGATTTTATCTGGAGAGAGAGGGGAGAAAGAAGTCAAAGCATAGGGTAGGGCAGTGTGAGCAGGACCAGCAGTGTCATTTGACTTAACAAACGAGGATCGGATGTCGTCAACCTTCTTTTCAAAATGGTTGACGAAGTCATCCACAGAGAGGGAGGAGGGGGGGAGGGGGAGGAGGATTCAGCAGGGAGGAGAAGGTGGCAAAGAGCTTCCTAGGGTTAGAGGCAGATGCTTGGAATTTAGAGTGGTAGAAAGTGGCCTTAGCAGCAGAAACAGATGAAGAAAATGTAGAGAGGAGGGAGTGAAAAGATGCCAGGTCCGCAGGGAGTCTAGTTTTCCTCCATTTCTGCTTGGCTGCCCGGAGCCCTGTTCTGTGAGCTCGCAATGAGTCATCAAGCCACGGAGCTGGAGGGGAGGACCGAGCCGGCCGGGAGGATAGGGGACATAGAGAGTCAAAGGATGCAGAAAGGGAGGAGAGGAGGGTTGAGGAGGCAGAATCAGGAGATTGGAGGGAGAAGGATTGAGCAGAGGGAAGAGATGATAGGATGGAAGAGGAGAGAGTAGCGGGAGAGAGAGAGCGAAGGTTGCGACGGTGCATTACCATCTGAGTAGGGGCAGAGTTAGTAGTGTTGGAGGTGAGCGAGAGAGAACAGGATACAAAGTAGTGGTCGGAGACATGGAGGGGAGTTGCAGTGAGATTAGTAGAATAACAGCATCTAGTAAAGATGAGGTCAAGCGTATTCCCTGCATTGTGAGTAGGGGGGGACGGTGAGAGGGTGAGGTCAATAGAGGAGAGGAGTGGAAAGAAGGAGGCAGAGAGAAATGAGTCAAAGGTAGACGTAGGGAGGTTGAAGTCCCCCAGAACTCTGAGGGGTGAGCCATCCTCAGGAAAGGAACTTATCAAGGCGTCAAGCTCATTGATGAACTCTCCAAGGGAACCTGGAGGGCGATAGATGACAAGGATATTAAGCTTAAATGGGCTAGTGACTGTGACAGCATGGAATTCAAATGAGTAGATAGACAGATGGGTCAGGGGAAAAATAGAGAATGTCCACATGGGAGAGATGAGGATTCCTGTGCCACCACCCCGCTGACCAGATGCTCTCGGGGTATGCGAGAACACATGGTCAGACGAGGAGAGAGCAGTAGGAGTAGCAGTGTTTTCAGTGGTAATCCATGTTTCCGTCAGCGCCAAGAAGTCGAGGGACTGGAGGGTAGCATAGGGTGAGATGAACTCTGCCTTGTTGGCAGCAGAACAGCAGTTCCAGAGGCTGCCTGAGACCTGGAACTCCACGTGGGTGGTGCGTGCAGGCACCACCAGGTTAGAGAGGCAGCAGCCACGCGGTGTGAGGCGTTTGTATAGCCTGTGCGGAGAGGAGAGAACAGGGATAGACAGAGGCATAGTTGACAGGCTGCAGAAAATGGCTACAATAATGCAAAGGAGATCGGAATGAAATGAACTAAACACTTGGGAAAGAAGAGAGCGGGGCCTCCCTCACCACAACACCCAAACATAACTCTCCCAACTTCCACCTCAGAAACTATAATTGTTGTAAACAATCCCCCATGTTTTTTATACATATACTCCCCTTTATTAATTTTCAACCCCGCCATCCTTTCCCTACTTAATAAATTAGTGAACAACAATGCCCTATACTTACTATCTACACCTTATGGACAGAGTTATTTTTACAATAATTGTATTATATATATATATATATATATATATATATATATATATATATATATATATATATATATATATTGCTCCTGAACTTCTTCTACTCTCAACCTCTCCGATCATTTTCATGATGTCCATTCGGTTTGCTTCTATATGCCATATCTTTCTAACTGTGCTCTTTCCCAAAAGCTCCCAACATACAACCTATATACTTATTATGGACACAGTATGCTTACATTATTAGCTATCTTTATTATTATTTGTTGTCATTTGTTATTAGTCCCATCCTTCAACTCTATTCAATACCTCCCATCTATCTCTTAGCACCATCCATATAGGATTTCTATTTGCCATATACATTTCAACCGTACTGTGATGTTTTACAAAAGTTCTGAACCTTTCTATTCTCATTGCTTCTACAGATTGTGAATTAAAAATAAACATTTTTGCTAAAAGCATTATTATATTATTGATTGATTGACTATGACTTTTCAGATCACCCAGTAATGCTATCTGCAAGGTTAGCTCCAGGTAAATAGTGCAATCCTTTAGCCATTCCTGGACCTGTGTTCAAAAACAAGCTACAGTGGGAAAAAAAGTATTTAGTCAGCCACCAATTGTGCATGTTCACCCACTTAAAAAGATGAGAGAGGCCTGTCATTTTCATCATAGGTACACGTCAACTATGACAGACAAATTGAGAAACAAATATCCTGAAAATCACATTGTTGGATTTTTAATGAATTTATTTGCAAATTATAGTGGAAAATAAGTATTTGGTCAATAACAAAAGTTTCTCAATACTTTGTTATATACCCTTTGTTGGCAATGACACAGGTCAAACGTTTTCTGTAAGTCTTCACAAGGTTTTCACACACTGTTGCTGGTATTTTGGCCTATTCCTCCATGCAGATCTCCTTTAGAGCAGTGATGTTTTGGGGCTGTCGCTGGGCAACACGGACTTTCAACTCCCTCCAAAGATTTTCTATGGGGTTGAGATCTGGAGACTGGCTAGGCCACTCCAGGACCTTGAAATGCTTCTTACGAAGCCACTCCTTCGTTGCCCGGGCGGTGTGTTTGGGATCATTGTCATGCTGAAAGACCCAGCCACGTTTCATCTTCAATGCCCTTGCTGATGGAAGGAGGTTTTCACTCAAAATCTCATGATACATGGCCCCATTCATTCTTTCCTTTACACTGATCAGTCGTCCTGGTCCCTTTGCAGAAAAACAGCCCCAAAGCATGATGTTTCCACCCCCATGCTTCACAGTAGGTATGGTGTTCTTTGGATGCAACTCAGCATTTTTTGCCCTCCAAATACGACGAGTTGACTTTTTACCAAAAAGTTATATTTTGGTTTAATCTGACCATATGACATTCTCCCAATCCTCTTCTGGATCATCCAAATGCACTCTAGCAAACTTCAGACGGGCCTGGACATGTACTGTCTTAAGCAGGGGGACACGTCTGGCACTACAGGATTTGAGTCCCTGGCGGCGTAGTGTTTTACTGATGGTAGGCTTTGTTACTTTGGTCCCCGCTCTCTGCAGGTCATTCACTA